GTTATTTGCACGTCGCCCGAGTAAGAAGCCGCTAATCTCGAGGAAAAACCGTAAGGACCGATTACAATTTGCACGGTTGCATCTTGATTGGAGCATCTGTGACTGGAAGAGGGTATGTTTCAGTGACGAATCCAAATTCAATATGTTTAGATAAGATGGTGTTCATTACGTTAGACGTCCTAGTGGACAAAGATTGAACCCCAGGTACACGTTGACCACTGTCAAACATGAAGGCGGGTCTGTTATGGTTTGGGGGTGCTTTTTTTACATAGAATAGATGTCATTATGTATAAGTTTGTATACACAGACATACTAAAGCATGTCATGTTACCCTATATGGAAGACAATATGCCCTTAAGATCAATCTTCCAGCAAGATAATGACCCGAAGCACACTTCAAATCTCGCAAAGAAATTCTTTCTGGGTGAAAAAATATCAGTTCCAATACCAAATGCCCTTCACAGTCTGCCGATATAAACCCCATTGAAAATCTATGGGAATACTTAGATAAGCAAATACGAGATAAAAATTATTCAAACAAGGATGAACTTTTTGCCGCTTTAGAGCAAAAGTGGAGACAGAATGGTGAATCTTATATCAAGAAACTTCTACAATCTATGTCTATATATTTTCGTCCTTCATAGTTCCAGTTTTTTTTCTATTAATTTTTTATTGGAGGGAGTCTAATGAATTTATTTATGTATAAGTGAGTATTATGCTATAACGAATTATGTATACAGGTTGGTGTATTAATAAAAAAAGAAATACTGCACAATATTAATTTGTCTATATACTTTTATCCATTACTGTAAGTAACAATACTTTTAGACTTCAAAAGGGCATTTGAGACTATAGATAGGTAAAAATTGTTAATGAAATTGCGTCACTATGGCTTTAAAGGATCAGTATTACCATTTTACAAAATTATTTAGTAAATAGAAGTCAAAAAACTAAAGTTGGAAATATTATGTCAAGTGTTTAAAATATATCACTGCTTTAGAACTTTTAAATAGTGATATTGAAAAAGTTATGAATTGGTTAAATGTCAATAAACTTAAATTAAACAATAATAAAACAAAATGTATGTCAATAGGGAAACATTTAGGTGACAATACAATTAGGATCATGACTAATGATGAAAAAATTGAAGTAGTCGAGTAATTTAAATATCTTGGTATATATGTGGATAGTAAGCTACCGTTTCACGAACATTATGAATACATTACTTCAAAAATATCGAAAAAGATAAATTACTTCTCTAGAGTTTCCCATAATCTTAGTACGTATTCCAAAAAATTGTGTATTACACTATAATTCTTCCCCATTTTTTATATTGTTCAACCATCTTGTTTACAGCAAATGAAAACATATTTTCAAAATTACAAATTCTACAAAATTAATCTATGAGTATCATTTTAAATAAAAACAAATATGGTAGGATTAAGTCTATGTCAGAAGAACTGCAGTGGTTGGATGTGAAAAATTTCATATATTATTTAGTTCTCGTTTTAATATTCAAATTAATAAATCATTTATTACCACCACATTTAGAGAACTTCACAAAATTAAATAGTCATTATCATAACTACGAAACTAGAAGCAGTATAGATTTTCATCTGCAAAATTGTAATAGTAGCATAACTAGTAAATCTATATTTCAACAAGGGAGTATTTTAATTTAATTGATTGAATAATGATATTAAACTGAGTTCGAATTTAAAAATGTTTAAGATGAAATTAAAAAATCACTTTATGCATAATCAAAATACATAGTGACGTAATTTTAATAGACAAGAATGTAAAATTACAGAAAATGGATTGAAGAAAAATATGTATCTGAATAATTATACAAAATTGAAATTGTAGCATTAATGCTATATAAATCTTCAACAACAACAAGTTGGTTGGGCGGGTACTTAAAGCTGAAATCTGTCGAATATTCCAGAATGTAAACATTTCTCGCAGAGTGCGAGCAGGGAATACCATGTCTGAATCTCCCACAAACTGGAAGACTACGTGCATTTACTGCACAGAGGTAAGAGAGATTGGTGAGAAGAGCAAAAAATCAAGTTGGAATGTCAACAAGGAGACTGGCTTGTCAATACAGATCTTCTAAGAGTACGATATCCTTGAAATTGGGGAGGAATGGTCTTAAATCGAAAGAGACTCAAGTGCCCCAAATATTCTTAAGCGCAACTCCTTCGTATCATCATTAGTTTAGGTGACGAAAAGTATTTCACCTTGAGTAATTCTGAAATGAAGAGAAACGACGGATTTTATACGGACAACGTAGAGAAATGCCCCGACAATATTAGATACAAACATGAAGCGAAATTTCCAGATAAAATCCTTGTCTGGTGCGCAATTTATAACAGGGGTGTATCCCAACCTTTTGTGGGTACCATTAGGGTTGACGCTTTGAATAGTCAGAGCTATATTGATAACTGCCTTTCCAAATTACTTCGTTTGTCTACGAACATCATGCTAATGACCAGATCATGTTTTGGCCAGACCTAGCATCATGCCAATTTTCCAGACATAACCAAAACTGGCTTCGACAGCATGGCTAATGAGAACCTTAATGTAATAAAAGGTAGAAACTTTCAAGACAATTGGCAATTCAATGTGTACTGCGCTGACAGAGATAATCAAGTTGTCGCTCTACAGTTCTGTGAAGAAAATTTAAATGATACGTTAGCAAATAACCGTTTTTTTATAAAAGAAATGATAAGAATGTGCAATATGCAAATACCAGTAGTATAAGTCTTGTAACACACAAGATATTAAAGAAAACGTTATGCAGTTATAAAAATTATTATTATTAATACCCAATAATATTTTTAGGTGAAAATTCTTCGGAATTTAGAAAACAATTACTTGGATAATAATTTACCACTTGCTGATCATCGAAATGTATTCTATCAACATGACGGTGCCCCACCCCACAACGGATACTTAATAAACATTTTCTTAGAAGCTACGTTTTACTGTCAATGGTTTGCTAACAATCGACCATTCAAGTGGACTACTTTATCTGGGGGACGATAAAAATATTGTTTACCAGACAGAACCCACTGACCACTCTAAATGACTGTAAGCAGAGAGTAAGAAATGTATTTGCTAGTTTGAGTCCGGAAATCATAAGAACTGCCACTCATCAGGAGTTAATACGTAGATGATTTAAATGTTTGGAAGTTAGGGGTGGTCATTTTGAACATTTACCAAAATAAGTTGTTTCTTGTTATGTTTTGATTTTGTTTTATAATAGTATGAAAGTCAAATATAAATCGAAATAGCTTATTGTTTCTTGTTATTCATTTCACTGTATGTGTGCTTGTTTGGAAATCTACTAGCAAACTTCATAAATCATATTATCCTGATTACGAATACATGAAAATTATTAATTATATTATTATTAAAAGCTTAAAATGAGACGTAGTCATATTTCTGTAGTGCTCAATTGTTTATTGTCTGCGTCCCGCCGTCATGGCCAACTAATTAAAACACTAAATCTGTACTTATAGGAGTTCTACAATAGAAAAGTAATAAATTGCATATTACTCGAAAATTAAACATTTTCGGGACAGGTAGCCCTGTATAAAGTTACGCTAATTTTTAATGCTTGATGCGATAAGGGGTTTTCGTTTGAAAAAATCGACATATGGCAATTTTTGAGATTTAATTTTTATACTATTTTTTTGACCACCCTCTATAAATAATTATCGAAATATCATACAAAATCTATTAAACTATATCCCTGTTTACAAGAAACTCAATCCACATTAAACAATAAGGTGTTCTACTTAGGGGAAATGAACAATTATTTTTGAGCCTGCAAACGCCATTTTTGACATACAATTTGAAATATGTCAAAAACGGTTAGACTCGGGTATAGGAGATTATACATGAAATATGATTAGAATTCTATGTAGAATCGGAATATTGAGTAATATACAAGGTGTCCAATTTAAAATAAGCAAGTTGGCATCAACTTCCGGTACAACCGGAAGTGCCACCATCTTGAAAAATTTTAGCTGCTGTTGCCCCATCGACATTAGTATACTCCACAATTTTCAAAAATATCATATGCCTACTTTTCGAGAAATCTATCGATGGAGTTCCCGATGCGACACCCTGTATATGATAGTAAAAAACGAGCTTAATATTGCCTCACGAATACGTTCTGTACAGGAAAGACCCAACTTTTAGGACACTCTACTATAATACAAGATTCTCCTAGAGGTTAGCCAGCACTTATTATCATCATCATTATGCCTTCAACAAAGTTTCTGACTCGCGTTTCGGACTTTAATAAGTTGATAATTAGAGCAACAAGGTGAATATAAAAATCTAATGTCCCCAAAAAAGTGCAAAAACGGTTTGTAATTTAAAAAATATACTTCAAAAGACTTCCTTCGCTCATGCATTGGAAGTAAAGGAACAATTCATATTAAGAAACATGCCCCCAACAAACACCCCTCATGTACATCATACGCCTCTGTTAACGTGTCTTTGATACGGCAGGATATGCCCGCACCGACTTTGCGAAGTCAAAGGCGTCAAAGGCGTTAGCAGTGAAGTTGTTTAATGCTCTCTTCCGTTTTGGTACCCGAGTGATACTACTGCAGATTCAATGCACATGCGAAAACTACTAAACAAGCAAAATGCTCATTCCGTTTTCCCCGTTCTTTTCTTCACTGACAATTAATAATTTTCTCGAACTATTCCAGTTCGTCATTTTATTAACGTCATGATTTAACGTTCCCCAGAGTTTGTACACTGACACCAGCAGATTAATACCAGTGTTCATGATCTTTCATCATCTGAAAAAGTTAAAATGCAGTAGTAGCTAAAACAGGTGTTGGAAAATAGGTTGCTTGCAAATGTTGCAACGGTTTGTTGGAAAGATCATTAAAAAAAACACTGAGATCAGTTGGTTTGAAAATGATACAACTTTTGTTGAACGTACCTAAGTGAATAACAAGTCAAACATTTTTCAGGATTTGGAATGGCTAGCAAACTCATAAATGGCGAGATGCAAAACACCGGAAAAGGAATGGATAGCAAAGGCAAAGGAAAGGGAGCTAAAGGAAAAGGTGGCAAAAGTGTATCCTGGAAAGGAAGAATGGGTGGAGGTACGCGAAGTCTATCCTGGGTAGGAGGTATGGGTGGAAAAGGTGGCATATCCATTGGAGGAAAAGGCAAAGGAAAAGGAGCCAAAGGAAAAGGAAAAGGAGCTAAAGGAAAAGGGAAAGGTGGCATATCCATAGGTGGAAAGGGCAAAGGAAAAGGAGCCAAAGGAAAAGGGAAAGGTGGCATATCCATAGGTGGAAAAGGCAAAGGAAAAGGAGCCAAAGGAAAAGGGAAAGGTGGAAAAGGAATTAAAGGAAAAGGGAAAGGTGGCAAAGGAGGCCTATCTTGGGGAGGAAAAATCTATGGCGGCAAAGGAGGTATATCCTGGGGAGGAGGTATCAGTGGAAAAGGCAAAGGAAAAGGGAAAGGGGGAAAAGGAGCTAAAGGAAAAGGGAAAGGTGGCATATCCATAGGCGGAAAAGGCAAAGGAAAAGGAGCCAAAGGAAAAGGAAAAGGAGCTAAAGGAAAAGGGAAAGGTGGCATATCCATAGGTGGAAAAGGCAAAGGAAAAGGAGCCAAAGGAAAAGGGAAACGTGGAAAAGGAATTAAAGGAAAAGGGAAAGGTGGCAAAGGAGGTCTATCTTGGGGAGGAAGAATGGGTGGCGGCAAAGGCGGTATATCCTGGGGAGGAGGTATCAGTGGAAAAGGCAAAGGAAAAGGATCCAAAGGAAAAGGGAAAGGTGGAAAAGGAGTTAAAGGCAAAGGAAAAGGGAAAGGTGGAAAAGGAGCTAAGGGAAAAGGGAAAGGTGGCATATCCATAGGCGGAAAAGGCAAAGGAAAAGGAGCTAAAGGAAAAGGGAAAGGTGGCATATCCATAGGCGGAAAAGGCAAAGGAAAAGGAGCTAAAGGAAAAGGGAAAGGTGGCATATCCATAGGCGGAAAAGGCAAAGGAAACGGATCCAAAGGAAAAGGGAAAGGTGGAAAAGGAGCTAAGGGAAAAGGGAAAGGTGGCATATCCATAGGCGGAAAAGGCAAAGGAAAAGGGAAAAGTGGCATATCCATAGGTGGAAAAGGCAAAGGAAAAGGAGCCAAAGGAAAAGGGAAAGGTGGAAAAGGAGTTAAAGGAAAAGGGAAAGGTGGCAAAGGAGGTCTATCTTGGGGAGGAAGAATGGGTGGCGGCAAAGGAGGTATATCCTGGGGAGGAGGTATCAGTGGAAAAGGCAAAGGAAAAGGATCCAAAGGAAAAGGGAAAGGTGGAAAAGGAGCTAAAGGAAAAGGGAAAGGTGGCATATCCATAGGTGGAAAAGGCAAAGGAGAAGGAGCCAAAGGAAAAGGGAAAGGTGGAAAAGGAGTTAAAGGAAAAGGGAAAGGTGGCATATCCATAGGCGGAAAAGGCAAAGGAAAAGGAACTAAAGGAAAAGGGAAAGGTGGCATATCCATAGGTAGAAAAGGCAAAGGAAAAGGGAAACGGGGAAATGGAATTAAAGGAAAAGGGAAAGGTGGCAAAGGAGGTCTATCTTGGGGAGGAAGAATGGGTGGCGGCAAAGGCGGTATATCCTGGGGAGGAGGTATCAGTGGAAAAGGCAAAGGAAAAGGATCCAAAGGAAAAGGGAAAGGTGGAAAAGGAGTTAAAGGAAAAGGGAAAGGTGGCATATCCATAGATGGAAAAGGTAAAGGAAAAGGGAAAGGTGGAAAAGGAGCTAAGGGAAAAGGGAAAGGTGGCATATCCATAGGCGGAAAAGGCAAAGGAAAAGGATCCAAAGGAAAAGGGAAAGGTGGAAAAGGAGCTAAGGGAAAAGGGAAAGGTGGCATATCCATAGGCGGAAAAGGCAAAGGGAAAGGTGGCATATCCATAGGTGGAAAAGGCAAAGGAAAAGGAGCCAAAGGAAAAGGGAAAGGTGGAAAAGGAGTTAAAGGAAAAGGGAAAGGTGGCATATCCATAGGCGGAAAAGGCAAAGGAAAAGGAGCTAAAGGAAAAGGGAAAGGTGGCATATCCATAGGCGGAAAAGGCAAAGGAAAAGGATCCAAAGGAAAAGGGAAAGGTGGAAAAGGAGCTAAGGGAAAAGGGAAAGGTGGCATATCCATAGGCGGAAAAGGCAAAGGAAAAGGGAAAGGTGGCATATCCATAGGTGGAAAAGGCAAAGGAAAAGGTAAAGGTGGAAAAGGAGTTAAAGGAAAAGGGAAAGGTGGCAACGGAGGTCTATCTTGGGGAGGAAGAATGGGTGGCGGCAAAGGAGGTATATCCTGGGGAGGAGGTATCAGTGGAAAAGGCAAAGGAAAAGGATCCAAAGGAAAAGGGAAGGGTGGAAAAGGAGCTAAAGGAAAAGGGAAAGGTGGCATATCTATAGGTGGAAAAGGCAAAGGAAAAGGAGCCAAAGGAAAAGGGAAAGGTGGAAAAGGAGTTAAAGGAAAAGGGAAAGGTGGCATATCGATAGGCGGAAAAGGCAAAGGAAAAGGAGCTAAAGGAAAAGGGAAAGGTGGCATATCCATAGGCGGAAAAGGCAAAGGAAAAGGAGCTAAAGGAAAAGGGAAAGGTGGCATATCCATAGGCGGAAAAGGCAAAGGAAAAGGATCCAAAGGAAAAGGGAAAGGTGGAAAAGGAGCTAAGGGAAAAGGGAAAGGTGGCATATCCATAGGCGGAAAAGGCAAAGGAAAAGGGAAAGGTGGCATATCCATAGGCGGAAAAGGCAAAGGAAAAGGAGCCAAAGGAAAAGGGAAAGGTGGAAAAGGAGTTAAAGGAAAAGGGAAAGGTGGCAAAGGAGGTCTATCTTTGGGAGGAAGAATGGGTGGCGGCAAAGGAGGTATATCCTGGGGAGGAGGTATCAGTGGAAAAGGCAAAGGAAAAGGATCCAAAGGAAAAGGGAAAGGTGGAAAAGGAGCTAAAGGAAAAGGGAAAGGTGGCATATCCATAGGCGGAAAAGGCAAAGGAAAAGGAGCCAAAGGAAAAGGAGCTAAAGGAAAAGGGAAAGGTGGCATATCCATAGGTGGAAAAGGAAAAGGAGCCAAAGGAAAAGGGAAAGGTGGAAAAGGAGTTAAAGGAAAAGGGAAAGGTGGCATATCTATAGGTGGAAAAGGCAAAGGAAAAGGAGCCAAAGGAAAAGGGAAAGGTGGAAAAGGAGTTAAAGGAAAAGGGAAAGGTGGCATATCGATAGGCGGAAAAGGCAAAGGAAAAGGAGCTAAAGGAAAAGGGAAAGGTGGCATATCCATAGGCAGAAAAGGCAAAGGAAAAGGAGCTAAAGGAAAAGGAGCTAAGGGAAAAGGGAAAGGTGGCATATCCATAGGTGGAAAAGGCAAAGGAAAAGGATCCAAAGGAAAAGGGAAAGGTGGAAAAGGAGCTAAAGGAAAAGGGAAAGGTGGCATATCCATAGGTGGAAAAGGCAAAGGAAAAGGAGCAAAAGGAAAAGGGAAAGGTGGAAAAGGAATTAAAGGAAAAGGGAAAGGTGGCAAAGGAGGTCTATCTTGGGGAGGAAGAATGGGTGGCGGAAAAGGAGGTATATCCTGGGGAGGAGGTATCAGTGGAAAAGGTGGCATATCCATAGGAGGTAAAGGCAAAGGAAAAGGATCCAAAGGAAAAGGGAAAGGTGGAAAAGGAGCTAAGGGAAAAGGGAAAGGTGGCATATCCATAGGCGGAAAAGGCAAAGGAAAAGGGAAAGGTGGAAAAGGAGCCAAGGGAAAAGGGAAAGGTGGCATATCCATAGGCGGAAAAGGCAAAGGAAAAGGAGCTAAAGGAAAAGGGAAAGGTGGCATATCCATAGGTGGAAAAGGCAAAGGAAAAGGAGCTAAAGGAAAAGGGAAAGGTGGAAAAGGAGGTAAAGGAAAAGGGAAAGGTGGCATATCCATAGGTGGAAAAGGCAAAGGAAAAGGGAAAGGTGGAAAAGGAGCTAAGGGAAAAGGGAAAGGTGGCATATCCATAGGTGGAAAAGGCAAAGGAAAAGGGAAAGATGGAAAAGGAGCCAAGGGAAAAGGGAAAGGTGGCATATCCATAGGCGGACAAGGCAAAGGAAAAGGAGCTAAAGGAAAAGGGAAAGGTGGCATATCCATAGGTGGAAAAGGCAAAGGAAAAGGAGCCAAAGGAAAAGGGAAAGGTGGAAAAGGAGGTAAAGGAAAAGGGAAAGGTGGCATATCCATAGGTGGAAAAGGCAAAGGAAAAGGGAAAGGTGGAAAAGGAGCTAAGGGAAAAGGGAAAGGTGGCATATCTATAGGCGGAAAAGGCAAAGGAAAAGGAGCTAAAGGAAAAGGGAAAGGTGGCATATCCATAGGCGGAAAAGGCAAAGGAAAAGGAGCTAAAGGAAAAGGGAAAGGTGGCATATCCATAGGCGGAAAAGGCAAAGGAAAAGGATCCAAAGGAAAAGGGAAAGGTGGAAAAGGAGCTAAGGGAAAAGGGAAAGGTGGCATATCCATAGGCGGAAAAGGCAAAGGGAAAGGTGGCATATCCATAGGTGGAAAAGGCAAAGGAAAAGGAGCCAAAGGAAAAGGGAAAGGTGGAAAAGGAGTTAAAGGAAAGGGGAAAGGTGGCAAAGGAGGTCTATCTTGGGGAGGAAGAATGGGTGGCGGCAAAGGAGGTATATCCTGGGGAGGAGGTATCAGTGGAAAAGGCAAAGGAAAAGGATCCAAAGGAAAAGGGAAAGGTGGAAAAGGAGCTAAAGGAAAAGGGAAAGGTGGCATATCCATAGGTGGAAAAGGCAAAGGAAAAGGAGCCAAAGGTAAAGGGAAAGGTGGAAAAGGAGTTAAAGGAAAAGGGAAAGGTGGCATATCCATAGGCGGAAAAGGCAAAGGAAAAGGAGCTAAAGGAAAAGGGAAAGGTGGCATATCCATAGGCGGAAAAGGCAAAGGAAAAGGGAAAGGTGGCATATCCATAGGTCGAAAAGGCAAAGGAAAAGGAGCCAAAGGAAAAGGTAAAGGTGGAAAAGGAGTTAAAGGAAAAGGGAAAGGTGGCAACGGAGGTCTATCTTGGGGAGGAAGAATGGGTGGCGGCAAAGGAGGTATATCCTGGGGAGGAGGTATCAGTGGAAAAGGCAAAGGAAAAGGATCCAAAGGAAAAGGGAAGGGTGGAAAAGGTGCTAAAGGAAAAGGGAAAGGTGGCATATCTATAGGTGGAAAAGGCAAAGGAAAAGGAGCCAAAGGAAAAGGGAAAGGTGGAAAAGGAGTTAAAGGAAAAGGGAAAGGTGGCATATCGATAGGCGGAAAAGGCAAAGGAAAAGGAGCTAAAGGAAAAGGGAAAGGTGGCATATCCATAGGCGGAAAAGGCAAAGGAAAAGGAGCTAAAGGAAAAGGGAAAGGTGGCATATCCATAGGCGGAAAAGGCAAAGGAAAAGGATCCAAAGGAAAAGGGAAAGGTGGAAAAGGAGCTAAGGGAAAAGGGAAAGGTGGCATATCCATAGGCGGAAAAGGCAAAGGAAAAGGGAAACGTGGCATATCCATAGGTGGAAAAGGCAAAGGAAAAGGAGCCAAAGGAAAAGGGAAAGGTGGAAAAGGAGGTCTATCTTGGGGAGGAAGAATGGGTGGCGGCAAAGGAGGTATATCCTGGGGAGGAGGTATCACTGGAAAAGGCAAAGGAAAAGGATCCAAAGGAAAAGGGAAAGGTGGAAAAGGAGCTAAAGGAAAAGGGAAAGGTGGCATATCCATAGGCGGAAAAGGCAAAGGAAAAGGAGCCAAAGGAAAAGGGAAAGGTGGCATATCCATAGGTGGAAAAGGAAAAGGAGCCAAAGGAAAAGGGAAAGGTGGAAAAGGAGTTAAAGGAAAAGGGAAAGGTGGCATATCCATAGGCAGAAAAGGCAAAGGAAAAGGAGCTAAAGGAAAAGGAGCTAAGGGAAAAGGGAAAGGTGGCATATCCATAGGCGGAAAAGGCAAAGGAAAAGGAGGCAAAGGAAAGGAAAAGGAGCTAAAGGAAAAGGGAAAGGTGGCATATCCATAGGTGGAAAAGGCAAAGGAAAAGGATCCAAAGGAAAAGGGAAAGGTGGAAAAGGAGCTAAAGGAAAAGGGAAAGGTGGCATATCCATAAGTGGAAAAGGCAAAGGAAAAGGAGCAAAAGGAAAAGGGAAAGGTGGAAAAGGAATTAAAGGAAAAGGGAAAGGTGGCAAAGGAGGTCTATCTTGGGGAGGAAGAATGGGTGGCGGAAAAGGAGGTATATCCTGGGGAGGAGGTATCAGTGGAAAAGGCAAAGGAAAAGGATCCAAAGGAAAAGGGAAGGGTGGAAAAGGTGCTAAAGGAAAAGGGAAAGGTGGCATATCTATAGGTGGAAAAGGCAAAGGAAAAGGAGCCAAAGGAAAAGGGAAAGGTGGAAAAGGAGTTAAAGGAAAAGGGAAAGGTGGCATATCGATAGGCGGAAAAGGCAAAGGAAAAGGAGCTAAAGGAAAAGGGAAAGGTGGCATATCCATAGGCGGAAAAGGCAAAGGAAAAGGAGCTAAAGGAAAAGGGAAAGGTGGCATATCTATAGGCGGAAAAGGCAAAGGAAAAGGATCCAAAGAAAAAGGGAAAGGTGGAAAAGGAGCTAAGGGAAAAGGGAAAGGTGGCATATCCATAGGCGGAAAAGGCAAAGGAAAAGGGAAAGGTGGCATATCCATAGGTGGAAAAGGCAAAGGAAAAGGAGCCAAAGGAAAAGGTAAAGGTGGAAAAGGAGTTAAAGGAAAAGGGAAAGGTGGCAACGGAGGTCTATCTTGGGGAGGAAGAATGGGTGGCGGCAAAGGAGGTATATCCTGGGGAGGAGGTATCAGTGGAAAAGGTGGCATATCCATAGGAGGTAAAGGCAAAGGAAAAGGATCCAAAGGAAAAGGGAAAGGTGGAAAAGGAGCTAAGGGAAAAGGGAAAGGTGGCATATCCATAGGCGGAAAAGGCAAAGGAAAAGGGAAAGGTGGAAAAGGAGCCAAGGGAAAAGGGAAAGGTGGCATATCCATAGGCGGAAAAGGCAAAGGAAAAGGAGCTAAAGGAAAAGGGAAAGGTGGCATATCCATAGGTGGAAAAGGCAAAGGAAAAGGAGCTAAAGGAAAAGGGAAAGGTGGCATATCCATAGGCGGAAAAGGCAAAGGAAAAGGAGCCAAAGGAAAAGGCAAAGGAAAAGGAGCTAAAGGAAAAGGGAAAGTTAAAGGAGGAAAAGGAGCTAAGGGAAAAGGGAAAGGTGGAATATCCATAGGCGGAAAACGCAAAGGAAAAGGGAAAGGTGGCATATCCATAGGCGGAAAGGGCAAAGGAAAAGGATCCAAAGGAAAAGGGAAAGGTGGAAAAGGAGCTAAGGGAAAAGGGAAAGGTGGCATATCCATAGGCGGAAAAGGCAAAGGAAAAGGGAAAGGTGGCATATCCATAGGTGGAAAAGGCAAAGGAAAAGGAGCCAAAGGAAAAGGGAAAGGTGGAAAAGGAGTTAAAGGAAAAGGGAAAGGTGGAATATCCATAGGCGGAAAACGCAAAGGAAAAGGGAAAGGTGGCATATCCATAGGCGGAAAGGGCAAAGGAAAAGGATCCAAAGGAAAAGGGAAAGGTGGAAAAGGAGCTAAGGGAAAAGGGAAAGGTGGCATATCCATAGGCGGAAAAGGCAAAGGAAAAGGGAAAGGTGGCATATCCATAGGTGGAAAAGGCAAAGGAAAAGGAGCCAAAGGAAAAGGGAAAGGTGGAATAGGAGTTAAAGGAAAAGGGAAAGGTGGCAAAGGACGTCTATCTTGGGGAAGACGAATGGGTGGCGGCAAAGGAGGTATATCCTGGGGAGGAGGTATCGGTGGAAAAGGTGGCATATCCATAGGAGGAAAAGGCAAAGGAAAAGGATCCAAAGGAAAAGGGAAAGGTGAAAAAGGAGCTAAGGGAAAAGGGAAAGGTGGAATATCCATAGGAGGAAAAGGCAAAGGGAAAGGGGCTAAAGGGAAAGGTGGAAAAGGAGCTAAAGGGAAAGGTGGCATATCCATAGGCGGAAAAAGTAAAGGAAAAGGGAAAAGTGGAAAAGGAGCTAAGGGAAAAGGGAAAGGTGGCATATCCATAGGCGGAAAAAGCAAAGGAAAGGGAGCCACAGGAAAAGGGAAAGGTGGAAAAGGAGCTAAAGGAAAAGGGAAAGTTGGCATATCCATAGGTGGAAAGGCCTGAAAGGTAATTGATTCAATACTTTGCTTACACCAAAAATAAGCCAACAGATCAGATAGCTACATTCAAACAAATAAGAAGTCTTAATTGGAAACCGATTTGAAAGCAAATGAATTCCGCAACACGTGAGAAAACTAATACTAACATCTTTCAATTCTCAAAAATTAACTAATGGCCTTTTCAATTGCGATACAATTTTTCATGGGAGCCATAAGATTTTTGTGAACATGGGGTTTTCTTCCGTCAAACTGTATTTTTCGAAGGTTTCTTCAAACGAGGTTTCTAAAACAGGCATTGTCTTTGTTTGGAGACCCGAGACGGCGCTAGATTGAGTCAATTAAAGGGCATCTTATACATTTTCGACATGATTCCAAATTAAAGTTGCACGAAGTATCACGTGTTGCGGATTTCTTGTCAGACAATGAAAAAGACCAATTACTCAACGAAAAATGCAATTACATATTTATTTTTGTTGTAGATGCTTAAAAAGATTATTTTCATTCGCAAACGTTTGAATGTGTTGCGTACACATCTTCAGAGATTCGGTGACATGGGATACCCAACCGTTTCAAAAGTATACTAAGTTCAAAATATGCAGAACAGAACTATCCTGTTGCATTTCTGGTACTTTTTGTGCTGCATGTCAAAACTATCCGATGTCCAACTTTTTCAGCTAAAATTCAGCGTTTGTCTTTTGAAAGTATTACGAGTGCATTGAGTACAATGGAAGCCCAGCAGGATCTCCCACCGTTGGATCTGATAGTAATCCACGGAGCGGCAAGGGTGATCGCACATACTTTTTTTTTTTTTTTGGTGAGGGGGGAATGTGTTTACGCACCATACCATAGCCCGAGCTACGGCGTGTGTGGGACTCCAGGTTGTCTTGAGGAGACCACCTAATACCCACTAAACCCTAACCTCCGCGTGGCCCGACTCATCAGCGTCTCGGTAGGCCATGTATTGTGCGTGACCTGCGGTCTGCTACAACGTCTCCTCATGTGTTTCAGTCTCTGGGAACGCCGGGTTGGTTCCCTTTACCTCGCACATTCTATCGATGTCGTTAAGCGATCATCGACAGAGGGTCTGCTAGGTTCTCTTGAAACTCTTATTTTCGAAAAATCAAGAGTTTCAAGTCCTCTTACCTATATATTGTTCCTGGTCCTGGTCCTGGTGGGTCCTGATCGTGGCGGGTCCTGGTCCTGGTTGGTCCTGGTCTCGGTGGTTCCTGGTCGTAAGCGAGCTGAGGTCTGGCGATGACCTTGATCAGCCGTAGCTTGGTCGCTAGCGGCATCCGGCTGTGTCTACCCAGTAATGGGTAGAGTTGAGCCATGGCTGCTCTGGTCTTTGCGATGACAGCTTCTATGTGGGCTTTCCAGGTGAGGGACTTGTCAAATACGATCCCCAGATATTTGACTTTGTCGCTCCACAGGATATCTTCGTCGAAGATGGATGCTTCGAGAGGTCTTGCAATCCTTCTTCGTTGGATGAAGATTGCCTGCGTCTTCTGGACGTTGATGCGGATTTTCCATTTCACGCACCAGTCCTGGATGTGGTCCAGTTCATCCTGTAGTCTCCTACGGATGATCTCGGGTCGTCGATGCTTGGCGGCTATAGCAGTGTCGTCTGCATATAGGGCCAGCATTGTGTCAGCTGTCTTCGATACGTCGTGAGTATAGATGTTGTATAGCAGGGGTGCTAAGGCTGACCCCTGGGGCACGCCTGCTTCCAGCTGTCGTCTTGTTGAGTGGCATGTACCAATCTTCACCGTGAACCATCTTTGTGTTAAATAGCTCTGGATCAGTTGGCACATGTTCGCATCGATTCCGGCGGCTTCCATTTTGGCGATGAGTCCATCGTGCCAAACTCGATCAAAGGCTCGTTCCACGTCCAGCAGGACGAGGCCGGATGCCTCCTGGAGATTGAAGCCGCTGGTGATGTTTTCTGTCAGTCGTAGCGTTTGGAGTTCCGTGTTGTGGGAGGATCTGAAGCCGAATTGCTCTGGGGGGAGAAGTTGCAGTTCTTCTGCCTGCTTCTCTAGTCGAACGGCGATAGCCTTTTCGACTACTTTGCCCATCGAGGAAACCAGGCTGATGGGCCGGTTGTTCTGGGGCAACTTCCGGTCCTTGCCTGGCTTGGTGAGCATTATAACCTGGGCTTCCCGCCACCGCCGCGGGAAGTGGTTAAGTCTCAGAGTGGCATTGGCGATGTTGGTGAGCGCAGCAATGCCTTTGGAGGGAAGGTTCTTCAGTATCCTGTTGTTGATGCCGTCCCTTCCCGGAGCCTTTCTGACCTTCAACCTGCGGATGATCAGACGGATTTCCTCTGGACTGGAGGGGTGATCCGTCTCCTGGCCAGGTGGTCGACTCCTCATGATTTCGGCTGCGACTTCCACGGCCTCCTCGTGGTTGTCGTTCTCGTCTTCATGGTAATTGAGTCTGCATTCGGATTCTAGCGAATCGGCGAATGCTTCGGCTTTTTCTTCACTGGAGTAGGCCAAGCCGCGTTGGCCGTGAAGAGTGGGGATCGTGGTGCGCTGACGACGAAATTTTCGCTACATAGTCCAGGCCGTACCATCCTGGTTCTCTAGTTCTGCACAGGCTGCATTCCATCTGCTGTTTTGGAGTTCCGCGAGTGCGTTCTTCAGAGCTAGCGATGCTCTGTTTCGCGCAACTCTCGACTCCTCTGTCAACAGCTGGAGATGTTCTCGCTTGAGTCTTCTGTTCTCCCTGATCAGGTGCCTAATATGGTGCGGTGCTGGACCATTTAGGTGTCTAGGAACTGCCGTAGTCTCGGAGCGGGTGCTGTCCTCGTGCGCTCGCAGGACATCATTCTCCAGCTCCTCTACTGCGTTGTCCAGTTCCTCCGCTGATCGGATGGTTGGAATTTGAGTGATGTTCCTTTGGACGTTGGATTTGTAGAGGTTCCAGTTCGTCCGTTTGGTGCTCAAGCTATCTCGAGTTCTAGACTCTGTGCCAAGTGTTAGTAGGATCGGATTGTGGTCCGACGATCCTTCCACCAGGGTCTCTATCTCGAACTCCTCTCTGATGTTGCGGAGGATGGCTATGTCCAGTACCGCAGGTCGCCCAAGGCCGAATGGAATGTAGGTTGGTTGCTCCGGACCGACGATGACCCCCGCCAGGGCATGGACGTGTTCTTGGAGCTGCCTTGCATTCCTCTCTTCGACGTTGTTGTTCCATGCCGGAGACTTGCAGTTTAGATCTCCGATGACTATGCGTGCTCCTGGGCCTCTCAGGAGGTCAGCGATGTCATCTTCGTCTAGGGCCTCCCCTGGTGGCACATATAGGGAGGTGATTCTGTAGGGACGGTGGTTGTGATGGACCTGGACCGTGATTCCGTCCCCATTGATGTCTGCGGCGTCGTCGAGGACATGACTCGTCAAGGTACGTTTGACGAGTAATGCGACTCCTCCACCTCTGCCTCTTCTGTCGTAGCGGACGTCTCGTACCGCGGGAACGTCAGACTATGGGCACCATCCAATTTCGTTTCTTGGATGGCCATCACCTCTGGTTGGTACTGGTCTAGTATCTCCTGGATTTCTGGTTTCCGTGCCCTGAATCCGTTGATGTTCCAGGAGATAATGCGTAGAGATTCTACGTTTTGCCCTGTAGTCATTTCGGGTCTAATGCTTGTCTTGCATCTTGGCCTCGAGTGCATCCAGGCGGGTTATGATGGCTTGTATCATTGCTAGCAGTCTGTCATCGCCGTGTTGCTTCTGCGCAGTAGTTCCAGTAGCAGTGGCGGCTGCTGGGGCAGAAGTGGACATGGTTTTCTTCGCTTTTTGAGCGTAAGAGATCCTATTTGTGGTGGGGACTGCTTTGGGGGCAGCAGCAGCTTTCCTCGGTGCCTTACAACATCCTTTGTACTAGTAGTTTGCTGGGTGTCCTTCTCCGCAAAGGCAGCATTTGGTATTTCGTTGCCCTGTTGGCGGCGCCGGCAGACTGCAGTTGGTGCTGCTGTGGTCCTCACCACACTTTACGCACCGTTCAGCGAGACGGCAGTTTCGCTGCGTGTGTCCGTACCGCTGGCCGCGGTAGCATTGGCTGGGCTCGGTGGATCTCTTCTTTCTCTCGAAGCTGACCGTGAGCATGGCCAGCCTCTGGATCTCTAGAAGCTTTTCAGGCATCTTCGTCTTGACGAGGAAGAGCGGAAGTGGCTTCTTGGTGGTCCTTGAGGTCATCTGTTGAACCTCGGCGCCTGCGATACCTTGGTTCACTAGATCCTCTTTGATGTCATCGACTGACATCTCCCTGGGTAGTCCACGAATGACCCTCTGGTCCATCCTGTCCTCCTTCAGTTGATAGGTGAAGAAGGGCCGCTTGATGGAGTCCAGCAGTGCGACTAGCTGACGGTAGTCAACTGGTGTGTTTGTGAACACCTTCACACTGTTACCCGCCGTCCTCGCCTTGGAGAATTGGATCCCCTTGTTGTTGATCATCCTGCTTAAGGATGACCAGTCAGCGGTGCCCTCGATGCTGATGGGGGGGGAACTCCTGTTCCCGACATGGGGGGCACGATCGTCCTGGCTGCTCTAGGACTCTTCTTGGTGGCGGCAGCTGGCATCTTTGGTGGCGACACTGAAATCGGTATCGTCGTTGTTTGCTGTCCCTGTCGTGGTCCTATCCTCTTCGGTCCGTTAGGTGTCCTCTTCTTGCGCGTCCATCTCGTCCGACGTAGCCTGGTGGTCCTCTTCCTCGTCTTCTTCGGTCTTCTTTGCGGCCTTCTTCTTGGTCCTGCGGAGCTTCCCGTTCAGGTCCTCGATCTCCTGTTGTGCCTGCAAGAAGGCTTCTTGCAGGTTTCGCATTTGCTCTGCCAGCATGGCGAAAGCATCTTTCTTCTCCTTCAGCTGGTTAGCCAGCTTCTCAATTTTCGCCATCGTAGATGGCAAACAACCAATCTATCGCAATGAAAATCGCAATAAGATTGCTCAATGTCCGGGTGGGTCGCAGTCGTGCAAGTATACACTCGCAACGGCTGCTAGCTCGGAACTGACGGGGGACATAGACTTTGTTGACAGGGAACGCTTTTATAGCTACTCTCAGGCAGAAAATCTCGACATTATTGCCCTGTCGACCTTTTCTACCCAAAGTGTCACCACTATCGTTCACTACACAATCCCCCTCGGTAGTGCTAGCACCATTTTGTCATGGTGGATAGTGTTGCATCAAGTTTGCATACCATAGGTATTTAGTTATCTTATTCTTATCATCGTACATATACATAAGCACTTATGTACATGTAGAATCCAGCAAGTAGAAATCTATAATTGGTTCTGCCTTACTAATGGTTGAATGTCAACCCATTTCCTCTCGCTTATATGCCTGGACGATTTTCAACAGCATCAATTCCAGCTGCCTCTGGTAGTCCAGCAAATTCGAGTAGATGATTGGGAGTATCACCCTCTTCGTTGCAATATCTGCAGTTCGTGTACCATTTTCAGGTAGCTGTCAAAACAACTATATTCTGCGAGGAACAGTGCAGCAATCTATCCGCATCGCTTCCTTGTGAATCCAAGTTTTAATATCTGGGATCAGCCTTCTAGTCCACGCACCATGACCAGTTGCGCCCCTCTTTCGTCGCTTCTAGCCTCGGTGCTCTTGTTATAGAGCGCACATCTTACTTTACACAGCAAATCAATTGGCGGGATGCTAGCCACCAATAGCAGTGCATCAGTAGAGTGCACTGTTCTGCGCATACCACGCACATTATTACTTTTGGCTAGCGTCTGGGCATTAGCTGCGCTTTGCCCTTTTTCCACTAATTGTGATCATTTCTATTTTAACCGCTACTTTTTTGACAAATTTAAATTGCATGTAAATTGTCATCAGCAAAGCTGTGTATTGAATTGATCGAATAGGAAAGGAGGTCGTTGATATGTACGAGGAACAGTGTCGGAGCCAAGACCTGAACAAAACTTTTGAAATGTATGCTTATACCAGACATACTATCTATTTATTAATTCTCCAAACAATGAGTGGAAAATGGATCTTAGGATCATATCTTTGCATCTTGATATACTCGTACAATAAGACGTTGATTCTATATAGTCGGAAAAATGTTCCATATCTCTCACCTTGCTATAAAAAAAGCGTCAACTGTCATTTTTTGTGAAACTATACAACTGCATATATCTTTATTTTATATTTTTCAGGTCTCCTCGGATGCTGTACTACGAGGGCAGAAGCAATGATACATAATACTTCATATTTTTAACTTCCCTTTGTAACAACTAACAATGTATTATGTATTTAGAATAAACAAATAAACGGTAAGAAAATGAGGGGTATTTTGTTACTAAATGGGTATTGTCATCTATACTAGTCTAATCATATTAGACGAAAATACAGCTCATTGCGAAATAATTGTAAAGTCTGGTTTTAGTGATGCAAGTTGTTCAAGGGCGTATTTAAATCATGGACGCATAAAATAGGTACACCAATTTTTGTGGGAAAACTTTTTATTCGACAACAAAGAATGAGAAAACGTGTTTTTAGGATTCAATCGAAAGTGTTGGCAGTTTAGCGAGGGAAATATTTTTTAGTGAAATACATAAACTTTATGTTGACGAAACGTGTTCAGAATAATTTTAGGAACTATATACGGTTTTTATGCAGGGTGTTCATTTGAAAACTTCCCACCACGGGTTTATCAAAAATCACTGATTAAAAGGAAAAACGTCGAGACACGTCAAAAGGTTTGTCAAGGGGGACAACTTTTTAACCAAAAACTACTTCACCCTTTTTCACCCTCTGTATTTTTCGCTAAGGGAAAGATAGAATTTAATTTGCTGTGAGTTACCTTTGTGACAATCTTGGGATAGTGAAAATCAATTTATTGATTCAGAGTTTACTTCCAAAATGTTTTACGCACTAACCGAAAGAGTGGAAATGATTCTAATATATGGTGCCCAAAATCAATGTGCTCAGCAAACTGCCGTCACGTTTACCGCCATACATCCGGGAAAGATGACTTCGTATAGGGATATTGTGAACCTTGTTACTAAATTTACTCCAGCTGGATCTGTTGCAAATAAAAAACGTGACCATCGGAGAGATGAAGTTTTGGGTCATTTTGGAATAAATCCTAATATTTCCTTACGCAAAATTGTTGCTGCGACTGTTATTTCATTAGGCTCTGTACCCACAGTTACTAAACTCCATAAATTTCAACAACAAAAAAAATAGGGCAAGAGTTAACCGAAGATTTCGATAGGCGAGTTGAGTTTTGTGAACAAATGACTGCAGCAATTAATGATAATACCATTCATGTAAAGAATATCTGCTTCAGTGATGAATGCACATTTTATCTGAATGAAAATACTTTTGTAGAAGGGCATACCCAGTACCCCAAAAAATTAATGTATGGGGCAGGCATTTTAGGAAACAAAGTGATTGAGCCATTGTTTATTAATGGAAATTTGAATGGAGACATTTATTTGGATATGTTGGAAAATACCATCAATCCGCTTATCGCTGAAGCCATTGAAAACCAAAATGGAAGAGGATTTAAACCTTGTACTTGTGAGGCTGAAATATATTTCCAGCAAGATGGCGCTCCTCCGCACTATGTTCTTCCGGTTCGGCAATGGCAAGACGACGAGTTTCCAGATAAATAGATAGGACCAAGAGGGCCTAAAGAATGGCCTGCTAGATTTCCTGATTTGGCGCCATTAGACTATTTTCTATTGGGCCAATTGAAATCTATTGTTTACTCCCCAACCTGAAAGTTTGGATGAACTTTGTCAACACATCATCGAAAGCTGCCATGATATCCCACAACACGTTTTTAACATTTATTTAGATAAAAAGTGATATTTTCGTGGGCCTTTATTTTCTATCTGAACAAATTAAGATAAATAAAGGTATTTTATTGGAAACGAATCGACCGATTTTAAAAAATCAAACGTCAAAATAAAGGACTTTGAAAGACCATTTTTAAGGGGATGACCCAGGCGGCAGAGGGTGAAAGTTTTTGGTTAAAAAGTTGTTCCCCTTGACAAATCTTTTGACGTATCTCGGCGTTTTTGATTTTCATCAGTGGTTTTCGATAAATCCGTGGTGGGAAGTTTTTAAATGTGTCAAATAAGCAAAAGAATTATCTTTGACAATTTTATTCATACTTAATAATATATGGACGCAAATATAACATGGTACAATAATCAAGCATCAAAATATAAACATATCAAATGCGAGATTATTTTAAAAAGGATCACATACCTGATAATGAAAATTCAATACAAAAAGGGTATCATCAAGTTATATATTGTAAAATAATCTAAATCACATCCGTATTTCATACCAAAGACGACTAACTCATGTCTTTCGAAGATATTTTTCTTGGCAATTGACAATTTTTAAGTAACGGCGTAGTAAAGAAAACACTTCATTCCAAAAGGTTTTTCTATGACGTCACAAGTTCGAATCGGAAATTTAGCTGAATAGCGTTGGTATTTCTTGTGATATCTTACTATCCTTGTCTCAGCTGGCAGATTGCCATTCAAATTGCATGTATAATTTCTCACAATCTTGTAGATGTGATCAGATAGAACGTTCGATTTCTGTTGAAGTTGCGTTCGACTATGAATTAAAAAATTGCTTCACCTCAGCCCATTTAGTGTGAAAAACCGGAAACTTAAAACCCGGCTAATCTAGATCGAACTAAAGAATACTTGAAAAATCGATCAGTTAGTGAGAGACAATTTCAAACACAATGATGTCTATGAAAATCATATGTTCACAGCCTGTTAGCTCACGAAACAAAAATAAAAATTGTTTCAAGGCCAACTAAGCTTAAACCAAATACAGCAGACGCTCGATAACGTAAACAGGGGATAATGAAAACTTGCGCTAATGTAAACACAAACTTCGTTCTATAGGATCAAACGGAACGCGCGATAACGTAAACAATGTGTACGCTCGATAACGTAAACAACTCTCGGCGCACGGAAACAGCGCGACGGTAAAATGCTGAAGCCTCGATGATTTATGTCGGGCGTCGGGGAGTCCCCGATTTATGATGTAGAGTGTAGGGGATTCACCTCTGCGATAAAATACAACAAACTCGGTCAGTCGTATGATCGTTTAGGATACGTTTATACGTACGTATGTATTTCATTTTTGAACTTAAGTGAATGCATTGCACGCGTTAATATATTTTACCACTATGGCATCCACATCCACATCCTATAAAAGAAAGTGTTTAAAGTTGAGTGAGAAAGTGAAAATCATAGACGAAGTTGCACTAGGTGCGGGAGTGACACAGTTAGCAAAAAAATATGGAGTATCGAAAGCAACACTCTGTAAAATTAATCGTATGAAAACTCAAATTTTACAAGGAACGTGCAATACATTTGGAGGTCCGGGAAAAAGAAAAACTTAAAAAAATGCGAAGGCACCTAAAATGGAAAATTCCCTGTATAAGTGGTTTTTAAAACAACGGGAAAATCATGTCCCAGTTAGTGGCGAAGTACTTAAACTGAAAGAAACTGAAAATTTCGTAGCTAGTGATGGCTGGCTACAACGATTCAAAACAAGATATGGAATTCGACTGCTGTCTATATCTGGTGAAAAATTATCAGCACAACCACAATTAGTGCAACCATTCAAAGAAAAATTGATGAAAACAATTACCGAGCTAGACTTAAGAATGGAACAAATTTACAACGCAGATCAAAGTGGCCTTTATTGGAAAATGTTACCAGAGAAAACCTATGCTGCAGAATTTGAAAAATCTGCCCCGGGAAGAAAGCCGGAGAAACAACTAATAACGTTTCTAGCCTGCACTAATGCTAATGGTTCACACAAAATAAAGCCACTGGTAATTGGGAAAGCAAAAAATCCGCGCTCATTTAAAAATGTTAATATCCCTGTTGATTATGACTGTTCAAAAACCGCTTGGATGACTAGCAGTATATTCCTGAAATGGTTCCACAGGTGCTTTGTCCCTCAGGTATGACAATCGATTATCACAAATGCTCTATTCATAATTTGAAGATGTGTTTTCAATTTGTAGGTAAAAGGTTTCCTAAAACAACAGAAGCTTCCAATAAAAGCGTTGTTACTATTGGATAATGCACCAAGTCATCCTCCCGAGCAACAATTGAGGAGCAGGGATGGGTCAATTTTCGTCATGTACATGCCGCCCAACACCGTTAATTAAACCCATGGACCAGAATATAATAAGACTCACCAAAATATACTATAGGAAGTTTCTACTTTCGTCTGTCTTATCAAAGAATCCTGAAAACTTATCTGAGGCTTTAAAAAAAGTAACATTGCGAGCTGTTTTAGATTTACATATGGCCTGGAATGAACTTAACCAGCAAACTATTCAAAAATGTTGGAACAATCTCTTTTGTACCAATAATGAAGATGATGAAGAAGACGATGTCCCCTTAAGCGTAATTAGAGAACGTTTGCGATCCAATAATGATAATGTTATTAGTGTGTCATTGGATGTTGTTGATTTATTGAAAACAGTGAATCCCAACATTGTTTGTACTCCTGCTGATATTAATTTATGGAACGAAGATAAGCAGACGAATGATGCTGATAAGGAGGAGGATATGGACAGTGAGGATGATGAGAACGATCCCATTGAAGTCAGAAGTGTAGTGACTGACGCGCAAGCTATACAAGTTTTTAACCAAGCTTTAGATTGGGCTGAAAGAAAAGAAGTTTCATACACGGATATTTTAGTTCTTCGTAAATTACGGGCGCAGGCATTGGAAGACAATGCTAAGCGCAAATTTACGCAGACGAAAATTTGTTTATTTTGTTATAAATAGTATATATTAAACGTTTCTTTTAATAAATCAAATATTATATAAATCACGTTCGCTAATGTAAACATTTCGATAATGTGAACCACACTTGGATTAAATTAGTTTACATTATCGAGCGTCTGCTGTACAGGGAAATGAGAACGTTCACATTTTAAATTTGTATTAAAAGGCAACCGTAAATGCGAGGAAGTGGCGAGAGGTCCTGATCGACGCGTGCGTTCGGCGTGCGGGTTGAATAGTCATAATGGAACGTCGGACCGGAGTGCAACGTGCTTTTGTTATCGAGGCTTACTTTAAGGGTGGTGATTCATACGCACCTGCTCCATTTTCACTTAGACGGTTATGTGAACAAACAAAATTGCAGATATTGGGTACCAACGAACCCAAAAGAGAAACATCAACAACGGCTACATGGTCCAAAGGTGTTCGCTGCGCCATATCCTCCAGCGGTATTATTGTGCCGTATTTCTTTGGAGATGAAAACGGTCACGCAATGAGTCAATTCCGAGGAATACAGGGACATGATTGACTCTTTTTTTGCTCCTATTGTAAGAACAGAACGTAGATTTAACATAAACACATGGTTTCAACAGGATGGGGCCACTACCCATAGTACCAGAGAATCGCTGGACACGGTGAAAGCACTTTTTCATCAAAAAGTTATATCAAACTTTGGACACATTCACTGGCCTCCTAGGTCGCCCGACCTCACGCTATGCGATTATTTTTTGTGGGGTTATCTAAAATCTGTATTCTAATAATCCACGAACACTGGAGGAGCTTAAAGAGAAAGAACATCGACGAGAAATAAACATCATCACTCCGGAACTCTGCAAGAGAGTGCTTCAGAACTTGCGCGCGCGATTAGAAGGGATGACAAACATTTGGACGGAATGATATCTAAGCAAAAAAACCCGCCGAATTTACGAATATGTTGATAGTAATAAATATTTTCTTTTCATTACGTTTGTATTGTTTTTCTTAAATTACAAACTGAACTTTCCCACTGGACACCATGTACATGTACATGTACAATCTGGGAATCGGTGCATGTTCTCTCTAAAAAATCTTACTACATCGACGAATTTTACACGCTCCTCTGAGATCAGGATTTATACGACTGTCATAGGCCTAATGCAACGTATGGCTATGAGACATGGACAATGTCGAACGGCAGCTTAGGCGTTTCGTACGTAGAGTATTATGTAAGATTTTTGCACATCTCTACTACCCAAATACAGGTGAATATCAGATAAGAACGAACATCAAATGCAGTTGACAGTGACATTGTCCAAGAAATCAAAGCACATCGGCTGAGATGGGCTGGCCACTTTCAAAGACTTGACGATCGGTTGGTAAAGTTGATCTGGGAGAAAGCACCAGCTGGTAAAAGACCTCTACGTCGCCCCCGTATAAGATGGGGAGATAGCATCAAGTCAGACCTAGCATAAATTGACTTAAACTTTGACCCAGCAGTGTTGGAATACTGCACCAGATGGAGGCAAATTATGAAGTCAGCTAAAACTCACCCAGCGTTATAGTCATGTTTGTAAATAAGGCTAAAATGCTCTTCCGGCTCTAGTGGAGTAAGGTTTGAACATTAGATACTTGGAAACATAAAAAGTAAATGATTTTCAAAACTGTTATCATGGATATTTCTAGAGATCGGCAAGATCCTTGAATGGCAAGCTATTTTCTCAAATGTCAGTATGCACCCAGGTAGACGCACCTGAGCAAGCTTGTTCAGGTTATAACATCTATCAAGTTGACCGTTTTCAAGTTACAAACGTTTCAATGGCTGGTAGACACTAAAACTAGACATCTTCATTGCTCGAAAACTTGGGTTGATAAAAATCATTATCATCGATGTTGCCAAGTGTCTACATTAAAGTTCGACCTACTTTTCATTAACAGCACGCGTCAGTTTCCAGTTAATCCACAGAATAGTCGAGATGAAAAGCACATTATCCAGTAATTGTTCTGAATTTATTGCAATGTGTAGAAATTTCATGAACAACAACAGTTACCGTGTGATTCGACAACAAATCGTGAATGTAAATATAATATATAAATCTTAACAAAGAATTAAGTACTCATTCGTTAAAATTATTTACAGGGAGCGTGTGTAGTCTCACTAAAAAATAACTAAATCTAAATATAGAAAATATTAGCTTTCCACTTTCTTTTCTTCATTTCAGTGTTACGTCTCACGGCCTACGATAAAAGGTAGACAGGGACGCATAATATATATTTATAAATATTTAACAAATACGAGAATACCAACTTTGCTGATAACTCAAACTTTCGATTTACTTTACTGCTGTTCAATAATAATATACGATGTCAACGTCACTCAGTCAATATGTATATCAAAGTACGTGCCAAAAATTGGTTCGGCGAGTTCAAGGTAAGCACGTAAAAACAGCCGAGAGCTCTAAACCTTATTTGCCTTGCCACAGTGAAGTACAGTAGTCCCCCGATTGCCGGATTAACCGAATGATTCCTACAAACATACGGCAAAAAACTAATAAGCACTGAATCTGCAGTAACCGAAAAAGCCGCCGTATTAGTCGAGTTTCACGTATAAATAGCATGTTCTTTACGGGGAATCGTCAAAATCAGAAGTCGACGATAGGGGATTTAGTTGGCTGAGTCATGTGGTGCTGAACGGAGCAAACGGGCGTGTGTACAGTTTTACGACATTTCAATAATAAAATAAGTCGTAGATAAATGATGGGAAAAGTAAAAGAAAAAAGTTGTTGTAACAGTCGACGAGAAGTTAAAAGCCATTAAAAAGCTGGATGCTGGTGACTCAGTGGCAGGAATAGCAAGGGAATAGGGGGTAGGCAACGTAACAGTGGGGGACTGGAGAAGAAATCGGCAAAACAATGGTGCAACAAGGAAGTTTCGACTTCTTTTAAAAGAAAATCCATGAAGTGGGCAGAATTTGAAAAAATAATCGAATACTGTTGACATGGTTTACGCAACCAAGAGCAAAAGGTGTTCCCCTTTCTGGACCAATTTTACAATAAAAAGCCGTCATGATAAACAGGGAATTTCCAGATCTTGACCATTTAACGGCCAGTGATGGTTGGCTTGCTCGTTGGAAGATGAGATATGGTGTGCGCTAGTTAGCTGTTTGTGGGGAAAAGATTTCAGTAGTTACAAATGCTGCCGAAAATTTTAAGCAAACATTTAAAATTCTAATAGAAGGTTACACATTGGACCAAGTCTATAATTGTGATGACACTGGTCTTAACTTTAATTTGCTTCCGTCAAAGTCACTAGCATCAAAACAGGAAACGGTAGCTACGGGCCATAAAATCAGTAATCAGTACACATAGAATACCACTTATGATCATTGGAAAATCAGGCCATCCAAGAGCCTCAAAAAATATTCCTCCAAATGCACTGCCAGTTTATAACACGCATCAAAAGGTGCCTGGATGGATACGAAGTTGTTTACTGTCTGGTTTAAAGAACAGTGTGTTTCACTAGTGACCAAATTTTTGAAGAATCGCAAACTCCCAATAAAGGCTCTTTTGCTTATGGATAATGAATGCTCCATCACATCCCGAAGAAGATCTTGGTGTAGGTGAATTTACTGTTAAATTTATACCGATAAACATCACTAGCCTTGTAAAGGGTGATCCATTTGTTGGTTAATTTTTGGACTAGGGCTTATCTCACGGTTGGCAACACTTGCATCAGTTTTGTTTCGACAGGTATTTAGTAGAGTGCGTTGAACGAATATGGATCGATATACGCTTGAAGCGCTAAAAACTGGACGCTTGGACGAGTACTCCCTTTTTTACTGAAAAATCATTTTTTCGGATACGGCCCATTTTCATCTTGCTGGCTACGTCAATAAGCAAAATTGACATATTTGGTACTCATAATAGCTAAATGAAATTACCTAGAAGCCAATCCACCCGCAATACGTGACTGTTTGGTGTGGTTTGTGGTCTGATGGCATTATTGGCCCTTTTTTCGAAGATGACAAAGGACGCGGAAAATGTACTGAAAAATTGGGTCGACAGAATCGGCTACGTCAAGCTGAGTCGTGGCGCTCATATGAATGAGATTGTGTTTCGTCATTAACCGGAAGGATAGTACTCTCAAATAAAAAAAACCCGTTTAGAAATAGAACTCTGCGTTTTCATTTAAACCATCGATTTAAAAATTAACCAACAGATGGATAACCCTTTTCAACCCAAGGATCAAGGTGTCCTTGAAAACCTGAAGAATTATAGACGATTGTTTCTTGAACATTTGCAATTAACAGAAAATTACGACCTTGGCACATCTCGGCGACAGATTACCTTAAAAGATATTGTCTACTGAGCGAGTCAAGCACGGGAATCGGTAGGAGCACCAACAATCAAAAAATTCTGGAAAAATCTTTAGTTCCCGGAAGATGACACAGAAGACGATAAGCCTCTAAGCACGCTGGCTCTAAAATTAAAAGACGCCGAAGTTGAAACCAGTTGTGAAGATGAGTTGAGCTTGCTTGATTTAAGGAAAAAATTAAAAGGATGCGAAGACGCTTAAGAAGAAGGCGTTGGAGAATGGATTGCCTCTAACGACCACGAGCTAGAGCTTTCTATAGAGGAAATAGCTGCCTCTAAACAGACCGAAGAAGTAAACCAGATTTAAAAAGAAGAGAAAGATAGAGAGGTTATTATAGTCGATCGTATTTCAAATCAAGAAGGTTTTAATGCTTTAGACAAAGCCTCAAAGTATGTAGAACAGCAACCCGAGTCAACCGCATCAGACGTTTTACTTTTAAGAATACTGAGGAATAACGCAGCAAGAAAGAGAAACTCCCAGAAGAAGCAAACTCCTATTGACCGTTATTTTAAGGCATATTAATATTTTTACTTACGCATGCTACATACATTTTCAAGTTCTATTTGTCGAGTTATCTATAATGAATAAAAACATGTGAATCTACTTTATTTACAATAAAATAATTGAAAGCAGTAATGTATTTGTCCATTTAAAAAAATATATAAGTCGGATTATCCGAACCGCCAATTATACGAGAGGGGTCCAGCCCATGTTGGCTTGGATAATCGGTAGTCAACAGTAATCTCAAAATTAAAGAGGGCGTACAGTGGGGAACGTTTCAGCATTTTCATGTTGATGGAATATTAATATTATGCCGTGTACTCTGGCTGATTTCACCTTTTTCCATCAACAAGCAGTGGCAACACTTGCCCTCCATTAACGCCGAAGCTGTGAGGTTGTAAACTCTTTCACACTCTATCGTTATAATGTGGCCCTACTTTGATCAAGGAGGTTGGGCATTCCTCAGATATGAGGAAAATAACCTAATAATGAGGGTAAGAATGTAAACGATCTATTAAAAATGCCATGTTTTCTAGGTAGAGAATATCCCATTAGAGAACAAACTGCAAGGAACAGATCGGAGGAAAATAGGTGTTAAACAAAAAATAATAGTCGGTTCATTTTTTAAAATATTTTACAGAGAATACTTTGATATTAGACTTGAGTAATGTCAGACAATTAAAAGTGGTTTTGACGGTAAGACCATATGAAAATCCTCATCTTTTTTTTTGTAAAGCGATAAAATAAACGAAAGCAGTGTTATCAACTTTGTTCTGCTAGAGCACATTGTCTAAACTTTCAGACGTACGAGAAAAACTACACTGTGTGTTCTGTTATTCTCTCACTATATCTTTCTCTCTCCCAGTGGCGATGACGAATGACATGTTTCTTTAACCGAATCCTCTTGGTCAATCCCAAATGTCCACTGGAAAATTGTTCACTTCTATCTGATCGTTAACAGGATTGCCGTCTATCACGTACGATAATTTTACCTTCATTTTTAACACATTCTGAAACAAAATTATTACAGTTAAGAAGCATCCAAACGACTAATATTCGGCTATAATATTGGCAACTCGGCAATGCCGCCCGCAAACAAACTAACATTACATCACATTAAAGTAGCAATCCGATTGTTCTGCAATCTGACAGCAACAGAGAAAACTATTTCGGTGAAAGTATCTTCAGCAGTGGACAAAAGTTTGGAAAGAAATATTAACATTATTCTGAACTATTTCATATAACTAAATTAAAATTGTGAAGGAACAGTTAATATAAATATTAAAGTCTACCTTTGGCTTCCGTATTAATACAAGGTTTATCTCATCAATATTCAAATTCTCTGAAAATGAAAACGCGTTTTTTAACGACAAAAGTATGGAAACATTTCAGTTTTGCCGTATTTATTCGTTCTGCGATACTCTGATATTGCGGGCGGTAAATATTAACATCAGTGAGAATGGCAAAAGTAAAAGGATTTTCAAAAGATTTAAGAGACAAAGTAGATAATTGAATTATTTAGAAGTGGTGTCAGAAATGTTGACATTTCTCAAAGATTAAAAATGAACAAAAGGACGATTTTTAAAATTATTAGTAAATATCAAGAATACGGATCAACAGCAACGCGGCCCAGGTGCAGAAGGCCGAAAAAAACCGATTATGTTTTGGATCGCTACATTACACGTTTGTCCCATGAAGATCCTCGAATGCCAGCCACACAAATTTTCAAAAGAATCGTAGAACAGGTTGCCGAGAATCTTTCTGTCATAACAGTGCAGAGACGCTTGGTGGATTTTGGGCTTTTTGGTGGGCAAGCCTCTTATTAAAAAAAATCGTATTGCTCGAATTGAATTTGCTAAAACTCATCTAACTTAGACAGAACATACAACGCAATACAGTTTTATGGAGTGATGAAAGCAACTTTAACTCGTTTGGATCTGACGGTACGGCACATATGTGAGACATCCAGTACGAAAAAGACTCGACAAAAAGTATCAATTGCCAACAGTTAAGCACGGTGGAGGCAACATCATGATTTGGGGCTGTTTTTCTAGTTCTGGAACGGGTACCAATTGTTAAAATTATTTTGAAAAACAAAGATATTCTTAATGAACACATGCTCTCTTTTGCTGAAGAAGAAATGCCTTTACGATGGACATTCCAGCAAGATAATGTCCCCAAGCATACCTCAAAATTCGTAAAGGACTGGTTAAGACTAAAAAATTGTATGCTCTTACATGCCCTTCGCAATCCCCGGACCTAAACCCTATAGAACATCCCTGGGAGCATGTTAAAAGACAACTGACAAGAAAAACTTTAAAAAATAGGAACGATTTATTTGATTATGTAAAAAATATTAGGCAAAATATCCCAACAGACGTCTGTAGAAAATTGTTGTCTTCTATGAGCTGCAGATGTCAGGCAGTGTTGAATGCTAAAGGCTATGCTACCAAATATTAGCTAAACAGTATTTTTTAAATCTTTTTGTAGAGTTATTGTATTTAATTTTGTAGTACAAAATATGTTTCCATACTTTTGTCGTCTCATTTTTGGTCATAAAAGAATATGAAGGTATTTTAATGCTAGTCTGTAGTACCACAGCAAACACAAATTGTCATTTGTATCATCAAGTCTGTAAGCAAACTATATGAGAAAACATAGCCCTTAATAATAAAGAATAAAAATACTTTTTAAAAATTACTAAGAATGTTTCCAAACTTTTGTCCGCTTTTGTATGTCATCAGACCATACTAAAAATATTACCGTATATTGCTATTGCTAGAAATGCTGCTGCCTATTATATATTGCAGGTAAAATATTTTTTACAAAAATCCAAATCTAAGACTCCTTCATAATAAGACGTTGGAATGGTACGAAAAATCAACATAAGAGCGAGATCACTTTATGAAAAGGAAGGCAATAGGGAATATGGATGTGATTCAAATATAAGGTTATTTATAATTATTTATACGAGTAGTCTATATTGCTACAGAAAGCCACCTTCAACCGTATTAATTAATAAAGAACGGGAAAATTACGCAGCAAATTTAAAATATCGAAGCGCAACGCTATTGGCGTAACGTTACGATATTGGCAAGTGAGCCGCCAATCCTTTATCGATGTCATTGATTGTCACCCTATCAGTTCCAAATAGTTTTCGTTGAGGCGGAATCCGCCACTTAGCTATCTAAATAGAATGAGTTCCGCCCCTTTCACAACATAGATGTCAACACCGTTTGACAGCGGACGTATTGCCACCAGCAGGATAATTTCGCCGTAAAGACAACGTCGGAAAAATACCAAAAGAAAAATATAAACTTTCAAAACTTGTCAGCAAATTAAATTAAAAATAGAACAAGGTGACAAACCATAAGTTGTAACGTCACTGCGATGCGCCCGAAAAATAGAAACTTACAAAACTTGACAGCAAATCAACCAAACATAGAAGAAAATGACAAATCAACAGTTGTGACGTCACTGCGAACCGCTGGGAAAATGCAGCGTTTAAATCAACGTCATCAGCATTGCATTTTCAAATATTTAATCAAAAAAAAGATACTATTCCATGAATGAAATATGAGTTTACGGTATTATATTAACGCAAATAATTGACATAGCATACAAAAAACTTGCATAGTCCTATTGTAGAACTATGGAGATTCCAAACGCAAAAGTAAATATGAATAATACGTTTTTCTGGTTGAAACACCGAACGATTTTTAGAACTTTTCAACCGCATTCAGCTATTTTTATTACTAAAAATTGACCATCATACCAAAATACAAGAATTCAGCATGCCCTCGGTAACAAGATACGAGTTATACTTACTTTACTAGGATTGCTAACTTTGATTATTTGTGTAACCTTGCCATTGGGTAGAATCGTCGTTCCTGACGGAGACATCATTTGTAATTGGAATGTCTGAAAAATTAAATAATATAATAATATAATAAATCTTGGTACGTGGCTGACGTAAATAAAGACAAAAGTCACAAAGCTTTGTGAATACAGCTCCGTCACCATATTGATAATAAATCGTTTCTACTAACTGAAAATAAATATTTCTCAACAGGCATCAATGTTAAACAGAAATTCCAGGCTCCTCAATATATGAAGTGCTCGTTATGTAACATACTATTTCAACACTCAGTCTAATTTCTTGTAAAAAGTAAAAGTGGAACAAACCCAAGATTTAGAACAAATCTCGTGTCCCGCTGTCATGAGTCGGACACCTTATAACCTTATGAATGGATATATGCCTAGTTCCAGGTATATAATGCAATCAGAACACAAAAAACTAACATAAAGACTCCACAAATACGCGACTTTGTCAGCGAAACAGTAGAATATAACATGAGCAAACATTTAATACAACGTTCTGTAAAAGCTGTAACTGTGGCACTGATACGTGAATACACATATATATGTACAGAGTGCGGCAGAGAGGACGGACGTTTTTGGGATGGGTAGTACTCTCCGCCACCGTCTACGAGAGAGGTGGGGAGGGTGCCGTTTGACGTCAGATCCTAGCATTATTTTACCAGTTGTCGTTATGGAGCCTTGGACGGTGGATGACTGCGTTGTCGCCTATGATTGTTTCGTCCGAAATAATGAGTCAGTCATCGTCGTACAGCGTGAGTTTCGTTGCCACTTCAACATTCATCGGAATAGAGCTGTTCCCTCTCGAAACACCATCCTTCGTTGGGTTGAATCACTTCGCAGGCGTGGTGAACTGATCAACAGAAGACCAAGAGGAGCGCCGCGAACAGTTCGAACTCCTGAAAATGTTGAACGCGTTCGACAGGTCTTTCTTCGCAGTCCGACTCGATCTGCCCGGAAACATGCTCCTGCACTTCGCCTCAGTGATCGTTCGGTAAGGCGAATTTTGCATATGGATCCAGCAGGATGGGGCGACCGCCCACACAGCCCGAGCATCCATGGACGTTATTCGCCCTCTCTTCCCTGGTCGCCTTATTTCCAGGTTTGGCGATGTTCATTGGCCTCCTCGGTCCCCAGATTTATCCATATGCGATTTTTTCTTATGGGGACACCTCAAGGCTAGAGTATACGCGGACAAGCCCCGAACTCTGGACGAATTGAAGGGCGAAATTCGCGTGGAAGTCGCCCAAGTTGAGAGAGCGATGTTGGACAGAGTCTACGCGAACTTCCAAGAGCGCCTCCAGCACTGCATCAACGATTTCGGCCACCACATGCCTGATGTGATTTTCCACACTTGACTGACTCAAATGCTATTTCCTTGTGAACCTGATTCCATCAATAAATTTGTTTTCGAGTAAAAATTAACTATTTTATGATTTTTTAAAACCGTCTATCCTCTCTGCCGCACCCTGTATATTGAATAACAATTTATGTGATCTTACTACCAGTATCACCTCTAGGTGTACAAGTTTGTATACCGAACCAAATATCGATTATGCTAAAAGACTAAGCTCACCCTAGGTACAGCAACTTGGAACAGGAAATCAGTCATGTTGCTGAGAGTGTTATTATTTGCTGTGACGTGGATCGTCAAGGTATCCGGATTAGCAGACCCTGCCGTTGGTTTTTCCAATCCGAATATCACTCGTAATCCGTCCTTTTCATACGCCGTCATTTGCGGCAGTTGCTTTTCTAAAATCACTGAAAAAACATTATAATTATTATACAGTACTTTTTGAACAAACCATTCCCCCTTTATTTTTTGAATGCCACGGGTATTACGTATCTTGAAAAGTGACATTTTGTCTTTTTTTAAACTTTTTTTAGGTTTTTTACATAATACCCAGGCCGGTCAAGATTTCAAGCTGAAATTCGAGGTGATCAAAACTGATGCATGTGACGTAAAAATAACAGATGAACATTTTCTTGATGCTGCTGGGCGCCACCTTAGAATAATTTTTAAATGGACTGGGAGGTAGTAATACCTCATTTTGAGGCTCCTTAATTATCAGTACTATATAGCACTAGAATATAAAATCACTATTTTTAAAATGGCGGAGACCAGGTGTTTCAAACGTGAGCGTTTTTGTACACAGAATCGTTTATAAGCAATCATGAAATAGTTATAGTATGTTGTAGCATATTTTGAAAGGGTTTATCTGAATGTGCAGTAAAATACACTCAGTTTAAGAAAAGATGACAAGATTCTGTCATTTTTTAAATTTCATAATCCATATTTTGTTACATATTCGGTTGCAAGAGAACGATATAATACAGGGTGGCCGATATGTAACTGACTGGTATGTATCTTGAGTATTTGTGAAATGAAATAAAATACATCCATTTTTTTCATCCTAATCTTTTATTGAAACTTAGAAATTATGTATGGAAAATAATATCAGACAAACGTCAGCCTCTGGAAGCCGCGCAAGCTTGAGCCCTCTTGATTACATTATCCACGACTTTTTGGTAGGTTTCGGGAGAAATATTTTCAATCGCTTCCGTAATATTGTTCTTCAGCTGCTCTACAATATTTGGTAAAAAAGTCAGGAGCCGTTAAATCCGGTGACTTTGGAGGCCAGTTGACATCACCAAATCGAAAAATTAAACGTTCTGGAAATATTGTTCCCACAAGAGTCATTGTTTCCCTAGCTGTGTGACAAGTTGCTCCATCCTGATGAAACCACATGTTTTGCAGGTTAAATTGTTGAATTTAGAGGAGCCAGAAAGTTTTCCATATCACGGTAGCGCTCGCCAGTGACAGTAAAAGAATTACCTGCAGCGTGTTCAAAGAAGTAAGGTCCAATGACACGTCCATACCAAACATCGCACCAAACTGGAACTCGACGAGGATGTAGTGGTCGTTGATGGATGACGAGGGTTCTCTGATGCCCAGATACGACAATTCTGCTTATTAACAAATCCGTTCATATCGAAGCGGACTTCATTGCCTATTATAAGTTGTCGGTAAAAATCGGTATTTTGGGTATTAAGCTGGAATATTGCACGAGTGTATTGTCGGAGAGTTTAATGGTCACTAGGCTGTAGTCCTTGGGTTAACTGAATTTTGCATGGCCGCAAATGCAAGCCTTTTTTAAAATAGTGCATAATGACGTCCTGCGAATACCCAGTTCTTTAGAACGATGTCTGGTAGACGTCTCAGTGCGCTCCACTACACTTACACGAAATCTCTCGATATTTTCTGGAGTACGAACACGGACTTTGGCAAATCTTTAGCTTCACATGTTTGTTAAAATTTCCGCACCAACTGACGAATGGTGTTGACACTGGGCACAATATTTTGATCGAAATCTTGTCGTTACTTCCGAATTGGACACATGTGCTTTAAATAACTACTACGGCGCCACCTACTGAAATGAGTGTATCAAAAATTGCGCGCAGTTTGAATCAGTCAGTTATATATTGACTACCCTGTATAGTAAGCTATAGCGTTTTAATGTTTTTTTTGTCGAGTTATAAACGATTCACTTTACAAGAACGCCTATCTTTGACAGCCTGACAGTCCGCCATTTTGATGGACCGCATTTATACTCTAGTGTTATTAAGTACCCACAAGGAGCTTCAAAGTGAGGTATCACATGCCCCCTTGTTACAATCAAAATGTTGCAAGATAGCGCCCAGTCCGCATCTTGAAATGTTCAACTATGATTTTATGCTAAATTATAGTACCCACCATCCAGAAATTCAGCTTGCTGTATTTGACCCATCGAAAAGCAGTGGAAGCAACATTTTTGAAAAGTACTGTATGTGTATATTCGTACGGTAATGATTTTTTAAACATTAAAAAATGATATTTGTTACATGAGTGTTAATTTATGAAATTATGCTTTGTGAAAGACGGTACGCTGTCAAATGATACACATTTTCGCTATGTGCTTGAATGATAACCCGATGAGACACGTCATTATTCAGCAACAACGTAATTTCTGTATGGAAAGTAAGATATTACCATTGTTCATTACTGGCGGTGCAAAAACTCCTTCCCCTCCAGCTAAAAAGTCTAAATTTCCATTATCCAGTGGCGCTGGCATAGCGGGGGGCTGTGAGCCGTTGTTATTCTCTGTAGGTGGGACCGTAGGTGGTCCTAAGGGTCCCAAACCAAGCAGATCTAACAGATCTTGATTGTTGGTATTGTTCGTCATACTGGGCTGTGAATGCGATGACGTCAGAAGTCCCGGAGGCGGTACATTCGCTGGAGGTGTACGCGCGGCTGGGTTTATCACGTCTAGGTCGAGGAAATCAAGCAGAGCATTCTGGAAAGAGACAATATCCTTACTTTGGTAGCCACATCAAGTTGTAATATTTCCATGACTCATCCCCTAAATTTTTGTTTAATTTTTTTTTGTAACATATTTGTTTTGATAAGTTTTCTACCAGATTTGGTAGCAGATTCATAGAACAGATTACTTGACAAAAAAGTTAAACTCAAATTAAGGGATCGATGTTATAGATCTATTTCACTTAACAGGAATACAAAATCTGAAACCTACGGTACCATAAGACTACTTTTCATACAATTGTCATTCTACTTGCAAAATACTGCTGTGGTGACTACAACATTCTACAGTAAACAGTAATAAAACATATGTGGTTTGATTTAGCGGCCAGACAATAGAGTTTTGGTCACGACGGCAGCTTGTTCCAAGTACACTTGACATCAGAATTGTTAAATATACTTGGAAAAGGCCACCCTGGTAACCGTCGTAAAATGTCGTCATCAGTAAATAGTATTTCAAGCATATGTGGCTTCAACAGCCAGTTAAACATGGATGATTTTAAATAAACTAATTTTCACATTTCCAGGCATGGTGCAGCAAGATAGGTGCACCACGTACGAGCCCCTTCCCACTTCTGTTGGCCCACTTCAAGATTTGTACCAAAATATGCCTTTATAAACTAAACATGACGAAACTATGTACTTCTAAAACAATTTATTTTCTCAAAAACATTTTAGATACACTCTAGTCGTAAAAAATACATATTTGAAATCACTTAGACCTATAACTAATAGAACATCTGAACAAATAAACATTGTGCGAATAAATGCGCGAAGTTAACAAAGCAACAATTGAAAGATTACCATTGGGTAACATCACCTTTATTTTTATTACGGCTGAAATTCTTTGAAGCATAGTGTTAACCAAGTTTTGACAAAAATTTGGTGTAAAACAATCCCATACTTTTGTCTCAGTTCGGTGATTGTACGAGCAGGAAGTTGTCGTAGAACGTTTTTCATCTCGTGCCACAAAGTTTCAATAAGTGACTGATCTGGACTGCTAGAAACCCATTTCAAAAGTGGTACATTATTTTCTTCTATCCATTTTATAGCCTTTTTTAAGGTATGGCACGCTGCACCATCTTGCTGAAACACAAAATCTTGGACGGATGTCAAACATTCTTCCATCACTGGTAAAAGCGATTGTTCTAAAATTGCCAAATATTTGTTTGTATCCACATTTCCATCAATAAAATGTAGTTTTCCTACTCCTTTTGATGATATACTGCCCCAGACCATAATGGATGCTGGAAATTTCACTTTTCTCTTCAGACAGTCAACATGGAATGCTTCATTCTTTTTGCGAATAACTCTACTGCGACTGTCACCAACACAAACTTCGAATCGGGCCTCATCACTCCATTGTATTTCACACCATTGTTGAGGTGTCCATTGTCTATGTTCTTTAGCCCATCAAAGCCGATTTTTCTTTTGCAGTGGAGTTAATAGTGGTTTTTCTTTGGCCTATAAACAAGTTGTGCAACTTTAGGGTTTTTACTTTTTTTTATAAGAAAACTTACCTTGCAAGTGCTAAATCCCAGTTTGTGGGCCTCTCTATGAGTTGTGGACCTCGAAATTCTCCTTCTAACAGCGTCACTCCACAGATCACTTAATTGTAAATAATTGGCACGCCTGTTTTTCACGATTATTCTTCTTTGCTCTTCGGTCGGCATTTGTGATATTACTTTTTTTCACATATCGTGGCTTAATATTAACTGAACCAGTTACGTTATATCTTCTAACAATATTTCTCACACTGTACCGCGATAAGTCTAACAAAGTTGCAAATTCCGAGTTTTTTTAAAGTAAAAAAATTAATTATCTGTAACCGAATTTTCTCACTAATAACCTTTCCTCTACCCATTTTGAAAACCTGAACTACCCAAAACTATTTCAAACGTATTCTGACAGCTGTGATTAATAATAACAATTGTCATGGCTTGTATTTTTCACAGCCACATATGCGTTAGACTTATTTTGCATTGAAATGAAAATAGGTTGATATGCTGTAATTGCAACATGTGTTATTTTTATGCTGTAAATTCGATTAGGGAGTGATAAAGTTTGTGTTTTCTACTATATGTTATCAAAATATTCATTGTTAATATTTTAAACCTATAACACCCTGTACATTTTTATTATTTGTGTTTGATAAGAAAAAAACTAGGATTTCAATAGTTGGGCCAACTGAAGTGGGATGGGGCTCGTATGTCATCTGTGCTACATAAAAATATATTTGCAATCAAATGCGAAGTCCGTAAATTAGTGATGAGACTGGCAACGCAGCGTTAGATCTAGCAACACTGGAGACGCCGAGCTTGGAGGGAGACAGGGGAACATCTGATCCGGCTTCAGTACAAGTTTGAACTCACTCGAGTCATTTGGTTGTCCGTACGGATGTTTTTTGTGAAAAAAGTTTTTTCGATTGTGTCCTAAAAATGAGTGATATTCAATCTTAAGCTATCAGGTTATGCTTCAGACTTGGGCACAGTGCAACGGAAACTCTTGCTAAACAGGCCTACGGAGATAGTGTTTCGTCAAGAGCGCGGGTTTTTCGGTGGTTTAATGCATTTGGGGGAGGGTCGAATGAAGATCAACAACGAAACGGAAGGCCTTCATCTTCAAGAACCGATGAAAGTATCGTCAGAATCCGGGATTTTGTGCATTCAGATCGGCTGACAGTCAAAATGTTCGGGAAACAGTTAAATTTGACTCACACCACTGTTCATTAGATCAAGAGCAACTGGGTGCTGCATCACGATAATGCTCCTTGTCACACAGCAATGTCAATAAACGAGTTTTTGGCAGCAATGTCAATAAACGAGTTTTTGGCCATTAAAAACATTCCTGTGGCTCTTCAGCCTCCGAATTAGACAAGCTTGAGTCCTTGTGAGTTTTTTTCTTCCCGAAGTTGAATAATCACCTCATGGGATCTCATTTTGGGACAGTCAAAAACATTCAAACGGCTATAACCGACCAGTATCAGAGGTCCAGTGCTGCTATGAGGAGTGGAAGAACCGTCTCCAGCGCTGTGTGGCTTCATAAGGAGGTTATTTTGAGGGTGACAATATGAAATTGTAATTATATTTTAGACAAAAAAAAAACAGACTCACGAATAAATTTACAGATCCCTCATACATACTTCAGCCCTTGAGCACAAGGTTATTAAGATATGATTTGTACAGCATGGCTAAAACGGGTGCAAAACTTCAAGTTATAAGTAATATTTAGTGAGACTTCCCGAAACATTTAACACTTTGACTTCGTTTTGTTTTAAGTACCTCCTCGAAACCGATGACAAAATACTGAAAATATCTATGTCCTTTTTGTTGGTAAAATCTAAATATAAAAATCAACACCCGCTTTAGGAGGCACATCGCATTTACCGTATTGCTGATAGCACCGATTGCTTCTTCCTCATCTCCCTCCGGACTACCCCCTCCAAGCATCCCTTCTTCTTCTACTTCCCCGTTCAGTTGGTTAGCATCCGATCCTCTTCCCGTACCTCCAGCGTCCAAAGGTGGCATTCTTTCCAGCAAACCGGCCCTCAGGTGGCTGTAATTGCCGAACAGTTGCGAGAATTCCACACCTCTTTGCTGGAGCTCCACGTGCAGACTAGAGCGAAACGTGGCGATCATAGATTGGATTTTGCTGAAAAACAAAATGGTCTGATAAGAACAAAATAGATACTACGGACGGGTTCCTTCAGTCTTAAGGTCGTCGCACAATTGTCCGTCAGTCGCAATGGCAACGCATATTTATCCGTCGCTGGCCATCAGGTGACAAAACCAGTCAATGGAAGGATAGCAGCTACCGGGCGTTTTCGGTCGATTAACAGAAGACGACGGGCGGCCTGTATGACAAGCCTAGATAGACCAGGTAGTATCTACGCATCCGCTCGGAAATAGTTTTTTGTCTAAAAAATACCCTTTTAAAGAATCTGCATGTTGCCAGGCAGAAAATTGCGTCAAAAATCGGTTACAAAATTTTCTTAAACAAATTCCAAAAGTTGTTTTATCGTTACCCACAAAGTTTTATTTATTTTTTTTTGTCAATCTAAACAAAGAAAGCGTTTTTATAAACCTCTCTCTAAATCTCATACTTCCATAAAAAATAAGATATGCGCGTAGTTTTGTGATCTCAGTAAAGCTTTTGAATGTGTGGACCACAAGCCCCTAATTCAAAAACTTAAATACTACAATTTTCCCGATATTGCTATCTCCCTGATCACATCATATGTGGCAAATAGAACCCAGTTAGTCAGGGTGGGAGAAGTGGTGTCTCAGGAAAGGGAACTGTCCATCAGAGTTCCACAGGGCTCAGTATTGGGTCCTATATTATTCCTGCTGTACATTAACGACTTGTCTTTGGGAAGCATGGATGCTGCTTTCATCCTTTTTGCGGACGACACCACTATCTTTTTTACTGCATACACTCTGGATGAATCAATATTGGGAGTGGAAACCGTGCGAGTGGAATTCTGCTGAACCAAAACAAAACCCAAAAGATGGTGAATATATCATCTGCAAAAGTCTTGGGAGTGCAGGTCGACCCGCGTCTTAAATGGATGGATGGATGTCCACATAAACCATATGGCGAAAAAACTTGGGTCTGCACTGCATGCGTTATGACGCCTAGCGGAATGCGTGAGTGCATCTATGTTGAAAACAGCTTATTACGCATTATTTTATTGCATGTCATACGCTTTACTGATCTGGGGATGCGCGGTGGAATCACATCGTGTACTTGGCCTTCAGAGGAGTGCCATCCGGATAATTATTAAGGGATTGGAGTTTTGGGCTAATTGTAGGCAGGCTTTTAGGGATCTAGAGATTTTAAAATTGCCCTCCCAATACATCATGTACTGCCTTTTCCATATAAAGAACAACACAGTGATGTTCACGAACACAATACCAGGTTTAATAGTCATCTAATTCCAGAGTACTTCCGGCTAACGAGGTGTCAGAAGTCTCCAGAGTACCAGGGCATAAGATTTTTTAATCATCGGCTGAAAAGCATCAGACATACCTGTTAAGAAATTTAAAGAGAATGTAAAAATCATTTGAATGTCTGGAGCTTTCTATAGTACGGATGAATTTCTCTGGCATAGATTTTGAAACTTTCATTTTGTTGTTTGAAGTCTTGTCTCCCAAAGTGCTGTTATTGCAAACCTTTGTTTTTCAATTGTTAATTAAGCGTTGGCACATGAAAAACAAAGGTCTTCAATAGGATTAATGGATATCTGAAGAATATTTAGGAACTCTAACAAATATTAATTTTTCAGAGTCACAAATATCACATTTTGCACTTTTTTAAATATTAAATTCCTTCCTCAAAATCAAGAATCCGAAAAGTTTATAAAAGCCTTTGTTGTTCAGAATGACTCAATAACAATAAAAAAATTGTCCAGTATTTTTTTTAAATTCGTTAAAACATACGTATAAAAAATTTTTGACGCAATACATGCTATCAAATTAAAGTCAAGCAATGCTGACATTTTGTCATTTATTAAAAAACAGTTATTGAATGTTTTTTTACTTGGAAATACAGAATGGCAACGCTGAACTTTTTTACAACGTTGACCACAAACAGGGTGATTCAGAAAACATCGGATACATTTCTAGGACATAAAATAAAAAAAAAAGTTATAAATATAACTGAAAGTTGTATCTGATCATATTATTTGACTATATTCTTGTTTTCTCTCTATTCAGTCTCACTAGCGGCAATGGGACGTTTTAGGAATTATTTTTAAATTACTTTTGGTGTTATTTAGCCCTAGAAATACTAGCATTGCTCGTTAAATCACACTGTATAGTAAAAGTTTTATTCAGGTGGAAACGTAAATGTTAACCTTATTTGACGTATGAGTCACTGACTTCTTATGACTGTAATATCTAATAATGTCGTATGCGGTATTGGCGATTCATTAACTGGAACTTCTGATTCTAAACACATACCTAACTGTATTTGTAAACCTCGTGCTAAGCTTCACCAAGCTCATCAAAGCATACTGCTTGGTGGTAACCGTATTCTGTGGTGACCATAACACACGTTGATAAACTTCAACCACCTCTTCTTCAGTTGGAGGCTGAATGTCATCGTCAGATTGTGCTGACGTCAGTAGATCGCCGTATTCCCCTATACACCACACGCCCACCTAATAAATCGATCAAAATAAGAATGCATTAATTACTTTCATTAATAATAATTGATATTAATAATTGTTGATGCATATTTTCTTGAAAATACTGTCTTGGATATCCAGGTATAGAGTCTGAATGCATAATGACATGTTAATATATTTTTTCAAGTTGCCTTCAACACATTTCATCTTAAGACTGTGAAGATTTGAAACTAACGCGAATGATTACACTATTGGGTGCGCGATGAAAGCGCCGCTTATCGGAGGTCGTACTGAAATATTTGTGATTGTGGATTCAATGAAAATAACAGACAGTTGACCAATTTGAAGATAGGAACAATTTGAATTTCAGAATGAAAGTTCTCTTTAGATCTGACAAATGATGACAGCAAAATAATTGCACCTTTGTCTATACAGGGTGTTTCAGTTTATTGTTGCATAACTTTAAGATTCGATAGAACTTTTAAAATTAATGCATAAAGTCTATATAAACATGGGTCGAAAAATGCGTGGCTTCCGAAACACAGGGTGTTTAAATTTACTTTCTAAAATAGTTTTTTTTAAATATTTCGAACAATATTTGATGTATAACAGTGAAAATTGGTATACAAGGGTTTTTTGGTACGACAAAACGAACCATGGGCATAGTTTTACTGTAGCCGCTAGAAGGCGCTCGCTAATGTACCTGTAGTGTATTAAAATGAACGAAAAATTTTTCTTAGTGCAATTTTTTGCTTTTCGACGTAAAAAAGCTCTCTTGTGAATTTTCGTTATAGTTAGCCGTTTTTCAGATATTTCGATTGTTAAGGTTCGATGCATTTTTAATTATTTATGGGAAAATAATATTTTTTTACATTTTCGATTTGGGCATAACAAGTAATTAAGATGATCGTTTAGATTGTGTTTTTAAACAGCAATAATTCCTAACTCCAAATAAACACAAAAAAACAGAATATTAATTTGTTTAATTTTAAACTCACCTGTATCAGAGGTTGTCTGTTTTGAAGATCTTCTTTCAACGCCCTGTATAATTGTAATGTCACATAGCCTTGATGAGTGGGACTCTCGGATATCAGCTGTATCGTCGAACTGATGACGTCATCTCGTATGTAATTTCCAGCCTATAATAAATATGGTCAAGTATGGTAATTCCTAGGCATTAATATCCAATCAGTTTTCGTGGCTTCATTTGCCCAATGTGTCTGAAGAAACTAACAACGTAAAAAGTGCTTAACCTCCCCAATCAGATCGCGAATTCTTGAATACGATGAAGTCGATTGAACTTTCAAAAGTTCTGATACTTTTTAGAAGAAATCCTTTACAGTATTTAATAAGAAAACTCACCGCGACCAAAACTTTCAACAATGTGTCTAATCGCCATCTTCTAGTAGGAGCATAGCGTTCCGTCGCTAGTACTATAGAACTAGAGCAAGGTGCTTTGAACTCCGGATCGGCCTTCTCCAAGAAATTCACCAGCTCTTTGGTCATAGTCCGAATGTTTTGAGAATTGATCAACGCAAATGATAGTTCCATTGCTCGACGACGTATCGATACATCCGGGTCCTATTCATAAAAGAAAAATATTACAATGTGTGCTAAATAGATTCTACTTCAAGCTTCTACCAAAAAGTAGTTATACCAAGAAAATACACTTCCGCACCTCCCAAAAAAGCGCCCTTGGTGTGGCGATTCTCTCATCGTTAGCTCGGCATCTACCGAGGCAATGTCGCCAAGGTGACAAAGAATATTTAGATTTAGAAAGTGTTTATTCCAAAGTTTTTGGCGGTTACACTATAATGGCATACGAAATCAATGAACAGATTGCTTTAACAGTACTACTTGCGGAGCTGAACCTCCCTAGGGTAATTGCACACTGTACAAGTGAATGCCTAACGCGTGCTGCTACTGAACACACACATTAATTCTGTAACACAGGATCATTTAACACAGACTGTTGACTTTGTAGTTGTATCCTGAGGCATTGCATGTTTCATATCGGAGATCAACAAGAAAACTCAAATCGCACGCACATGACAGGCAATTTGTCATACTGTCAGTGACAAGCATACATGCGGAACACTCATACGCTGGAGAGAAAATATTTAAGGCGCTGAAAGAAAACTAAAACAACGTATGTCTGTGAGCTGACAGAAACAAACGTGCCCGCATAGAGACCTATTGAACATGTGTGTGAGGGAGATAGATGTATGAAAGTAATTTCTGTGGTTTTACCGTTTTATTGTAACCCGCCAAAAATCAAAAGACACATAACAGTTGTCTAATTGATTCATATTTCCTACATTTAGTGTACAAAATATGATGCACACTATTAGAAAATATTTGACTCATAACTAATTAAGCTTTCAAGAAGACTATTTGCTATGGGATCTATTGGTTAAAACGTGCAGAATGATCAATATCGACTATCTTTTGTATTCATAACATAAAAAATGAATGAAAAATTGATGAATACCATGAATAAATGTCCAAACAAAAGTGAAACATGCATAACAGAGAGACAATGAATTCATCCAAAAAGGATTATGTATCTGGCAACAACATGGTATTTATCTCTGAGCAAATAAAAACACTTGTTTGGACGCCGTTGAGGTCCTGGAGATAAAGCACAGGATTTCGTTATAGGTCCCACGCTTTTTATAATATTCATAAATGACCTGGGCCTCTGTAACTCTCAGAGTAACTTCCTGTATGCAGATTATACTACACTAGAGAGTGGTAACACTGCTGATGAGATTTGAACCCTGTAGATAATAATGGCAGCAGCGGTGGCTGCAGTGGTAGACACTTCGTCTCCTAATCAGTCGCCGTGCCAAGAGAAGGTTTTCTCTTGGCTATGGATGTTGTTATTGTCCACAGGTGGTAGACGGTCTCCGACTGTCGCACGCCGAGGTACCATCCGGCGGATCTCGTATGTGGGCCAGAATATATGCATGCTGCACATGTGTTCCCTCGCTAGACACCGTGTGGTATCCCCCCTTTTCCCCTGTATCCCCTATAGCCCCACGATACGCCATGGGTGTTTAGGCCTTGGGCCTTCGTGGTAGCTGAATAAAAAAATGTAAAAATTAAAATTTGGTTTCCTGAACAAAGCTAAAACTCATACCATGGAATTTCACTTTGAAGAATTTTAACAACGACAACGAGTTAGTAGTAAAGATGTTGGTTTTGCACGTAGCTAGCCGTCCCTCATGGTATGAACACACTTATCAATTGCTTCTAAAGTCAACACAGCTATTTGAATAACTTGTGGGGTGTTATTGTGGGAACACTCAGTCAGCTCCTCAGAAGTGTTTGCTGCCCAGATGAAATGCATCAGGGTCACCTCGAACACGCACTCTAGGAACGATTGAATTGAACAATTTATTTCTCTGGGTGTATTAACACTACCTTGAGCATACATCCTGGAGTGCCTGGTACATGTCAGGAATATCTTTGATAACTATGGCAGGAAGCTCAGGTTCCAGAGCTATGACACTAGATACTGTAATGATATGCCTATTCCCTACAGTAGGATCAACATATCCAGGGATAGGCATAATTATTACTGTATCATGTTCTTTAATGTTCTTCCCGAGTCAGTTAAACTTTTGAACATTGCATCGTTTAAAGCCTTTTATAGTATTGACAACTTTCTAGTCAATGACGTCAGTGACGTATAATGATTATATTTTTTCTTTATATATATATATATATATATATACATATTTTAGTGTAATTGCGTGTGATTTGAACTTGTCTGTATTTTTATTTTTTAATGTGTCTGGTTTGTTTGCTAGTATTAATGAGAGAGACGTAACCATGTTTTTGCTTACATCTCTCTCTCTCTAATTTCATTGTCTGCCTTCTCTTAGTATAACTACCATTTGCTTGTATCATTATATATAGAAGCAACTCCTTTATGCAGTGGTGGAAGCTTGTAAATAATGGTTGATTGTTCCAATTTAACGATTTTCCATAGTATGTTAGCATTTATGTACACTATACCTTGAGGCATTCCAAAACTGTAGCCCTATGTCTTTGAACCGCTGCTGAATCCACGTGTACAGTCCTCAAGAGTGTATTCAGCGCCACGTAGCGGATGTTTTTGTCATTATTCAATAGGAATCGACCAAGAATATTTACCGCCAATACCTGTAACAAAATTACGAAAAAATATGTAAGAAATACACAGCCACAAAAATAAATGCTTACCCTTAAACCACCCTCTGATTTGATATCCATTATAGATAGGACAGTTTCATATAAAATGGTGTTGCCGACATTTTTGCTAGTTTCTGTATTGGTCGCCACTTGGGCAAGTATGTCGTTCATTGCTTCTGATGTGTCCACGTCGTTGATACCCAGCACCCGCAAAAGTTTCAAGATCTTCACCTAAAAACAATTCGGAAGTTGACAAAGATGTCTGATTTCTGGTTGATTTGTATCATGCTATGGATTAAAGAAAGTCTGTCTTGGTGTAAAAAATAGTAATTGCAACACCTAATCCAAATTTGGATTGGCAAACCATCCGTAAATTCGGCTATAAGGTCCACTTACCTGTAGAAATGGATCACTAATACCAGACACATCATGTTCAGGGGAGTAACCGGCTAAAATTAGATTTTTCAGTATCCGTACAAGGTTTGGCACTATCTGTAAAAATTATAAAATTGTGTCAATGGTCTTTTTCACGAGTATTCATTACTGAGGTGAACAGATGTTCAGCAAGTGGCGTCTTTGTACTAAAGTTTGTAGTGTTGGCAATAATTAATCAGCACGGGTATTACGAGTATTGAAAAGGACATTTCGTCTTTTTTATATTTCGTAGGTTTTTTGACGGTTTTTGTTCGTGAGCTGGCGTAAGGCCTTAAAGGGTGATCACTCGTGACAATATGTTGAAATCTTACTAGATATTCATCTGTTTATTGTTGCCATGTTTTGCGTAATAAATAGTTGTGAAAAAGACTAACAAATTATTAATTATGTAAGATATAAGTTAGGTTTTCATAAGCCATTCATAGATTTTCCGTCAAAATGTTCTTTGCGAATAAATAATACGTTTCGAGAAGTTTGTGCGATCTTCACAGTCTACTTCAGTTTTTGTCGAAATATTCATGTTAAGGAAACATAAACTAAACGTATTCTGCTAATTTTTCAAGAAGTAGGTATTGTTGCAAAATAGTCAAAGTAACATCCTCAAACAATGCGTTATAAGTAATAATTGAATTTATTCATGTAAAACCATTAGATTATATGAAATCATGCCTATATCTTCAAACATCACAACAGATAAAAATACATTTTGTCACAAACAACAATGGTATGCAATACTAATGTTAATACATGCCTGATGTGAATAACAAATTGACTAATTCCTCATCACTTTGCTGATACTTTATGAATGGATTGAAATAAATTACCACCAATAGAAAAACAAAGTTTTGAGTTAAGTTTGCAGTACAATATATACTTACTTTTTTGAAATGATTCAGGGTATCTGGACTGTTTACGCACATTTCTGTTATCAGCGTTACTCCAGTTATCAGTACACCTGAAACAATCGGATATTGGAGTCAATAATAAGAAATCATTTTATCGGAAGATATTATAACCAGCTATTTGCTGCTAGTGATTGTTCAAAAAATGTATAATCACTTACCATGATTCTTCTCAGAGAGCATGCTTCTGGTGGCAGGCAAGAACATTTCCATGAGCTCAGGAACCCTCCTGACTATTCTGAACGCACATAGAGCCGCCTTCTTACGAACGTACGCATTAGGAGACTTCATCAGTCGCTCTACTTCTCCAGCCAAGTCCCTGGCCATCTCTGGGGATGCAATTGCGCCCAAAGTACACAAGGCTAGGCCCACGACGAACTGAGTGGTCGAGTTCAAGTCACTATAATGATAAATCATATTTCAGTTAAATTTCAATGGTAAAAGGTACAGGGTGTAAAGTGGGAAAGTTCCCATTTCAACTTTGAATTACGCGGCAACCGTATACGCGAGGAAGTGGGGAGAGGTCTTGATAAGTTAAATAGTCACAATGGACGTTGGACCGGAGCGCAACGTGTTTTTGCTGTCGCGGCTTACTTTCAGAGTAGACTCACAACAACATTCGCCGACCAAGACATTTTTTTTTTTATACTCCAACTACCACGAAGGCCTAAGGCCTAAGCACCCATTGGGTACCGTGGGGCTATAGGGGGATACATGGGAAAGGGGGGACGCCACACGGACTCTGGCGAGGGAACACGTGTGCATGCAACATGCACACATTCTGGCTCCACCTACGAGAACCGCCGGGTGGTACCTCCGCGTTCGACAGTCAGAGACCTTCTACCACCTACGGACAATCACAACATCCATAGCCAAGAGAAAAATTTCTCCTGGGACGGGACTCGAACCCGCACAGCGCACGGCGACTGATCAGGAGACCGAAGAGTCTACTACTGCGGCCACCGCGGCTGCATGCTCCAAATAAGAACTTATTGAAAAAGTAGATTAAGAGGTTCCGTAAAACAGGCTCTACTCTTAGTCAACCCATTCCTGGCTCCACACCTACTGTATCAACCGAAGAAAATGTGCGTCGACTTGGTGATTCGGTCATTGCAGATCCTCGGCGTTCTGTACGGAAGCATTCGTCTGCTTTGGGAATCCCTAGGTCAACACTGCTTGGCATAATGAAGAAAAAAATGTGCTTTCATCCATATAAAATCCAATCAGTCCATGCTTTAAAGGAAAGTGATTACGTATTACGGAAATCTTATGCTGAATGGATGTTGAATCTTTTTCTTAAGCAGCGCAGACTCGAGGACGTTGTTCCTAGCGGTATTTTTACTCCTATTGTAAAAATTGCAATAGTGAAAATGAGAATTTTTTCATTTGACCACTACTGAAAAAAATCTTGCAAAATATTTGTTCTAGTTGTATTTTTCAGGTTATTAGTTGTTTTAAGTTTGTCAATAAGAATCAATATGAGCAATAGCTCTACAGACTACAAAGTATATTTATCTATCTATTGTAAGTTCATAAAAAAATATATTTTCGTTAATAAGTGTCTGCATCCTTTTCTCATTTTCAGGAAGGTGTATAAACTTAATACTACTCTTTGATTCTGCTCAACTATGATTAAGAGTAAGACTTACTTCTTCAAACAATTTGTGATCAGCAAGTGCACATCTTGTCTTTCATCCAACAGCAGCATGGCTCCCAAGTATCCTATGCGTTTATCTGTGAACCTTGAACTGGCAATCAATTTCAGGCATTCTAGCTGACCAAAATGAGCTGGATAGCCCAGCATGTGGATGTAAAGTAGCTTTGCTATGTTCCTACATCTGAAACAAAGGATTAACATCGAAAATGACGTCCACTGCTGTTTATCATGTAACAGTTGTAAAAAAACTGTATGGCTAATGGCTATCAAAAATAACACAAAATAGCATTGATTAATATATTCTCTAAGCTATCCAACCATATGCTGTATTTGGTATGTTTCTAAGTAGATGTGTAGTAATTCCCTTTGAAGTAATTAAAACGGACTCCATTTTCCTTTTAAAGAAAATCGTTTTATCTTAAAAATGACATGAACCTTCCAAGAAAAGAGCACCCCATCAAGGGTAGGTATATAGTTGTATGTATAAGTGGCCTTTAACTAAAGTGAATATCTTCTGGTAGAATATGCTAATCAATTCTCATATACATGATGTCCCATTTTAATCTACCCACCTCTATATTTTGAAAACTACACATTCTAGAAAAAGTTTCAATCAAAGTTGTAGGCTCTAGAAGGTCAATTAAATACATTGCAAGCAATTTGTTCTAGTATCAAAATGAGTGGTCTTCTTTGGAAATCTTGGTTTGACATTGAAGGCAATGATCATGGCCACCTTTGAGTGATCAGAAACTCACAACACATTTTTGCTAGAGTAAATTGTTTTTGATGGCTTGATTTTACCCTGAAAGAGCATTGAAGGCAATGGTCAAGGTCATGTCCAAGGCGATTTTTAATGTAAAATTTGTACCTCTTTTCAATTGTGATCTGGAAAAGGGGGATTTCATTTGAAAATATTCTCTTGATCTTGACAGAACCTTGAACTTCATAGTAAGACTACAGTCAAAATCCCCACAATTTTGAGCCTTTGAAACATTACAACTTTTGTTTGTAACTGTTTCCTAGAATGCATTGTTTTCGAAACATTTAGGTGAGGAGATTATAATGGGATAATGTGTATAACAGAATGTTACCAAACCCACACATTTTATATCCTTGGCATGCATAAAACTTCTGACTTTGACTATCTTAATTAGGCAGTAGAATTATAAATAACATTATTACGAAGCAAGATGGTATTCTGACCTCCAAACCGAGTCCTCCTCTCTGAAAGTTGATCTAATGTAGGCGCATTCTTTGTTGACCACACTGCGCTCTTCAGCTGCTGTTCTTGCTGCTCTGATCTGCCTGATCAGATCTCTGAGGCGCATCGGAGTCGGCATACGGACTACAAGAAATAAGACAATGATATTCAAGACATTAAGCTCTCATAGGACAAAAGAGAAGAGAAGAGAAAATACAAGTGGTGTTGCTGCATTTTGGGAATGACATGGTATAAACCTTGAGAAATATGACTAGTCTATTTTAATGGGACATTTCTTAATTTGAAATGTGTACTAACTGTTTCTATGACATAACTAAACATACAACAAATCTTGTTGATGATAAATTCTACTCAAAAAAAATGTTTTTCCATTTCTCATTATTTTAATAGAATGTAAAAATGCTTTAGCAGCTTTGATTCCTTAATTTTATAGCATTTACTGCAAAATCAATGTGAACCTTTGCCTATGATTCCTTGTATGCTCTAGATCAGGACTTAAAATCAATAAACAAAATCGATATGACACTATAAATTGCCAGATAACTACTAACAATAAAAACTGTGTAACACTCAACAAATATCAGTAGGCAAGAGAGGAACAAACCACAAAATAAATCCATCAAGTATTTAACATTGGATATATCAACTGATGACTACAATACCATGTACAAACAGTGGTTAAATCTGCATAAGTTGGTAGTTCAGTTTTGTAAGAAAGTGAATAAGATAATATTTTCTTTATTTGTTTTATTTTCTTTGGTTTATTATCATACTCACCTACTTTCACAGATAAAGCCAATCTCTGTCAAATACTTATAAGTGTGAAGTTACAATTTAGATTTTTTTTATAGTTATGCAGTTTGAGTCTCTGTTGGTTATGAATTAGCTATGATGATATCAACCTATATTTTTGAAAGAAGGATATTTAAACAATCATGTAGAGATATTGAAATAACAACTAAAACTGCACCTGCATAACTGAATACAGCATTGAAGTATCTTCCTATATGAACTCATATTCTATTATCAAAATCAATAAAACATCAACCAGACTAAACATACATTAATCAGTAGCATTATCAGTACTCAAAATCATAAAGGAAGTAACAGCAAAAATATAACTGATTATTAGATGTAGTTTGTATATGGAGGATGAGAAATTCAAGGTTATTCTACAAAAAGAAAGATGTATTCTAATAAGTCTCATTTAATGGATGAATGATGAAGTAAAAAACAATAATGCTTAATTGAAAATCAGAAAAAAGTGTTTTTGATCTCTAAAATCATTATTATGGATGTTTACATTAATAATAAGTAATAATTAACACATCTATTATCAACAAAAATTATATTACCACTGTCAAAATTAAAAATGTACTTATTTAAATATTTTCAAAGATAAGCTTGATGAGCAGTGGTTTTCAATCTGCTAGATTATAGCACGTGCTTTTCATGAACTAATATAGAAATCTAATCCAATAAAAAAATCCCTGTTGTTACTAACATCATTTGGTTGTTGTTCCTCTGTAAGGCAACAAATATACAAATTCCCATTTTTTTTTTTAGTTAAATTCAAAACATTTTGCCATTAGTAGTGAACTCTGAAGGTTGTATTAAGGTATAAGTTCATATATTCATATATATTATACTGGACTTGTGTGCGATAATATCTCTTGGCAATGGTCTCCTTCTAACCCTACTGGACATTTTGTGTTGAGTTACTATTTTGCACAACACAAAGTGCTTGCATAAATGAACACTAAGAACCTCTCAAATCTACAGTATACTGCATAAAGTAGAAATAAATATTTTAAATGGTCCACTAAACTATGTCTAGTCTAAGGAGTGGTAAAATTAATGTTGATTTGCCATACTTTGTGTGAACAAGCTGTTTAGTTTTTGTGAATTACACAAGCTTTAAATTTCCCAAGGGGCTTCACCCTGTTTCAAACAAAGCGGAAGGATGGTTTACAGTTTACTTATATGGAACCAGCTGACATGGACTTCCTTCTAATTACCATGATAATAAAAAATAAAAAAAAACGATTAAAAGATTACAGGTTCAGTACTTTAGTCTGGCATACCATAGATCACAGGTCTGTTGTTTGGGTGCACAGTGGTATTAATGATACTGAAAACAACTTACCTCTTTCAATAGCCTCATTGACAACCTGCTTAATTGTAGCCATGTTAAATGCGGGGTTAAACCTAAAATGTAATCGTGTCAGTAAAGAAAAGGTCATGCATTGATGAAAAAAGGTTTACCCATGCTCGGAGGCATTCATTTTTAGTTATTTGTGGACAGACACAGGAGATTCTGATTCGCGTTTTCGACACGTACACAAAACACCATGCGAATTGTTCTTCTACTAGTATGATAGTTTATGACTTAAATTACGAGATTTCACTGGAATTTCCAGCATTCGGGACGATTTAACACAGAAAATCACCTGTTTTTCCCTACACCTTAATCCCTAATTTGACAGATGACACCTACAATCTATATCACAACCTAAAATGCGGAATGCATCGACTAAGACTAAATGCAGCTTCAAGCAAATCTTTCAATTAAATGCACCATCAAAATAAAACTAAAAAATTCAATAAAACCGATTTAAATTAAGAGTTGTTTAAATTTTTCTGACCGTCACATCGACCCAGTTGACGTTTTCACAAGAAAACAACATGGCCGAATGCCGGAGGAACAGTGTTGCGAAGTTATTTCAAAGAATTTCCTGAAATTGAAATTACCCGGAGGTCAATTTTTGAAAACGAAGGAGCAAATCAACTAAATATAAAGCGGTCGTGGTACTGTTACTTTTTGAGGAATTGTATTATTTGGTATTGATACAAGACTGGTTTCCATAATCATTATCTTGAGGAAATAGAATATCCAGCAGATGCGCGAATAATTACATTACGGAGTGAAAAACTCCATTTATAAACAAAATAATCATATGACGTCATCAACACGATAGGTACCTAATCAATTCCAAAAGTTAACGAGCTTAATTTCTGATTTCTGCTGAAACTGTAGTACGTTAGGCAACCCAGCTGACGGCGGTCTAACCAGTGACGTCACAAGGTGTCGTGTCTCCGTTTGCGTGGGCCGTAAACTTCAAATTTGAATCCCTCGCCCACTCAATAATCCTTTATAATGTAATTGACTTCTAAAATCAGGAACGGAAGCATTAGAATACAATGAACGCCCAGAGTAGTCGCAAATCCGGTTTATCTACACGGCACACACTATTTGATTTCTAAAACCACTGACGTCTTGATGTTTGTGGTTGTATCGCACAACAACAGGCGCAGTACGCAACTGAATTTCATTCATGTTCCTGCTGAACTTGAAATTTGGAAATTCAACAGATTGAAGTAGCATAAAATTGTTCTGATGGTTATTGCGGGAAATTTTGCATAAAAATAACTTTTATAATAACTCTCCAGATGAAAAGTTACTTCGTATTGCGACACTGCAGTTGGCTATAATGAGAAATTTTTAACAAAAATACTTACCTCCTGTTAGCTTCTGGGGGTAGTACACTCCAATCTGATTCATAATAAGGATACATTCCGCCGTTGTTCATTCCTTAGATTTTTTATTGTTGTAAAGCAGGATGTACGTTAAAACATACGACACGCATGGTTAACAGGTATAGGGAAAATATGTCACGATAAGGATATAAATAATAGATAAGAAAGTTACACATTTTATTATCAATTTGTATTTATCTACCTGAAATGGAGTCTGATAACGAAGAATATGCGACGAGAACTTTTTTCTTCATCGATATATACGAGGGTATTTAAACTTTAGCAGAATTTTCTTTGTGTGAGCTTTCCATCTTTATTGAACTATAGTGTGGAATTCGGAAGCTAAAGAGCATTATTTACTCCCACATGGCACGGGTATCACGTATATTGCTACACTTATTATCTACCTTTTCCACTGTTCCATCACCATATTGTCGAAACTACGAATCAAATAACTTGTCGCTGATCTTGAATTTGTTCCTAGACTACATTTTGATTTTCACAATTGGGGATCAGACAATTTTCAAGAGGTAACCCACTTTCGGCCATTTGTATCCATATACAACTTTGACACAATTTTGACAAGCTATATCAGTGATACAAAATTGTAAATAGTGAGTGTGCAATGACTCGGAGAAAGAAAAAGGATGAAGATGAGACTGTAAACATTAGTTGTGATTCTATCATATCAACGCAAGAAACATATGAGTACTTGAAAAAAAAATTATTACAACAGGAGTTGTTAGAAAAAACGAAAGATTTAGAAACTCGTCAAGCATTACTTTTGGGAAAAGAAACATTAATATACCACCTATCAAACAAAAACCGCAGATTTCAAGAACAGTACGATCTTATTTCATCAAACATCGTCGATAGGGACTGTATAGTAACACCACTCGAGAAACTCTCTAGGAGAATTATTGAGAAGTTAGAGGAGACATCAACAACAAAAAATTCCACATATGCCCAAGCAGTTATAAATTCATCATCAAAGAGTAAAGAAAGGACACTTAAAAGTCTTATCATTACCCCCGAACAACAACAGTCTAATTACAGAACTAAGAATGAGCTGAGCAGAAATTTGAATTTATCAAAAATAAACATCAAAATTGAAACTGTTAAGAACTCTAAAAATTGTGGTATTGAATTATATGAGAAGAATCTGCCATCAACATATAGGTATAATATCCGAACCGAAAATGTTTAATCCTAAAATATAGATTGTTGGCTACCACTCTGAAGAAAAACTTCAAGAACGTGAAATAGAAGAAGATAATTATTATGCGACAAATCCACTTTATAATAAAAGAGGTGTCAGGTAAACTATTCAGACAAATATTTGATAATAATGGAGGAAAACTTTAATTGGTTTTCAAAATTTATGAGTATATCCTAATATTGAGGTAACTCAGTGTACAAATTGCTCCAAGTTTAATTACTCTGGTGAGAAATGCAATAGTCATAAAGTATGCTTCAAATATGGAAAAGAACATGATGTTGAATGACTGAATGAATCTTAAAATTTTAGAGGCATCCCGGCCACCATAAGGAGCCAGTGCATATTCCGCTTAAGCGGGCCCTTATGCACCTCTACAATACTTAAATCACAAGCCTCGTCCTTTTAGCGAAGTTGAGAATCGCCTTGAGTCCAAGCTCCTTTACGTCCTGAGGGTCCAAAGTAATGGACCCCAGTATAGTCTGCCTATAGTAGCTCAGAGCTTCACAGCGACACAAAACGTGCGCCGAGGTCTCTTCCTCTACTCCGCAGCGTTCGCACAAGGGATCCTCAGCCACCCCCATCACGTGCAGGTGCCGCCTTAACGTGTTATGGCCAGACAACAGTCCCACCAGCAACCTTAGGTTGGCTCTACCCAGAGATAGGCAGAAGCGTCCATCCTTAGCACTGGGCCCTTCAATGAGCTCTCGTGCCTGGCGGAGATGTCTAGAGATACTTCTCCATTTCTGAGAGTGTTGTCTTGCAACCCACGTCTCCATTTTCCTCCTAGCTTTGTGCGCGGTTACTCCTAGAGCTGGCTCAGGACCAACGAGCTTGCTGGCTGATCCTGTTTTCGCCAGAATGTCCGCCGTCTCATTGCCCCTTATCCCAGCGTGCCCCGGTACCCATATTAACGATGCCGGATGCCTCGCTGCGAGGCAATCCAGAGCCTCCCTGCATTGCAATACAAGACTCGAAGTAATCTTACAGGCACTTAGTGCTTTCATTGCAGCCTGGCTGTCGGATAAGATTGTTATTCTTCTCCTAGGCCCACCCTCCTCCAGAATGTGAGATACACAAGCCAGAATCGCAAAGATTTCCGCCTGGAAAATGGTGGTGTATTCACCGAGAGGCAGAGATAGCCTAGTTCTAGGCCCAGAGACCCCAGCACCTGAGCCCTCTTCGGTGACCGAGCCGTCCGTGTACCAGACCTGCCCGCTCACTTCGGAGAGTCCTCGGCTACCGGCGTCCCACTCCTCCCTCGTTGGATACTCCACAATAAACTTGCGGTTGAAGCGATATTTAGGGGTAATACGATCACCCCTGCTTAGAAGGACGGGGTCCTCCCTTTCTAATTCGACTAAGATGGCAGTATGCCCCTTGACCGGATTCAAGAAAGCCCAGCTGCCCTGACTCCACAGTCGATGAGTGACTACTCTCGCTTCACCGCGGATCACCAGATCCAACGGTGGGAGATCCAACAGAGCTTCCATTGCACTCAATGGCGTTGTGCGCACTGCGCTTGTAATGCTAATACAGGCAAAACGCTGAATTTTATTGACTTTGGCCTTAGTTGACTCAGTTCTAATGCAAGGCCACCAGACCAGGGAGCCGTACAAGAGAGATGGACGTACTATCGTCGTGTAGAGCCAGTATACCACTTTGGGTTTAAGCCCCCACCTTACACCGACAACACGTCTACAAGCCCACATCGAATTGCGAGCCTTGCTAACCTTGTGTTCCACATGCTCTCTCCAGTTCAGTTTGCAGTCCTGGATAATTCCCAGATATTTCACTGACTGGGACAAAACTAATCTAGTCCCAAAGAAGGTCGGCATGACCAGTCCGTCAAGCCTTCTTCTCCTAGTGAATAGGATCAGCTCGGTCTTTTCAGCATTAACAGAAAGATCGACTTCCCTACACCACGATTCCACGGAGCGCAGAGCGCCCTGCATAATTTCCGAGACTGTTCTGCAGAAACGCCCCCTAACCACTATGCTTACGTCATCAGCATAGGCTTGCGCATAGACACTCATACTGCTGAGCCTAACGAGGAGTTCGTTCACCACGATACACCACAGTAGGGGTGACAGAACTCCTCCCTGAGGGCAGCCTCTAGCTACGTTCACGCTGCAGCTTACGTTATTCAGCATAGCTGTTGTTACCCGGCCCTCCAGAGTAGAGAGGACCCAATCTATTAGGATTGATCCAACCCGTGTCTAACCAAGGCCTGTCTGATAGAGTCGGTTGTGGTGCAATTAAATGCACCTTCAATGTCCAGGAAGGCCACGAGTGCCACTTCTCGCTGATCTAGAGTCTTCTCCAGCCTCCCGACCAGATTGTGTAAGGCCAGATCAGTCGATTTTCCAGCTTGGTATGCAAACTGATTTGCATGAATGACACACTTTTCCAGCGGGCCATCCCTTAGGTATCTATCAACTATCCTTTCCAGGGTCTTAAGCACAAAAGATGAAAGAGTAATCGGTCGAAAATCCTTCGGGCCAGTATATCTATCTCTGCCCGGTTTAGGAATGAATACCACTTTAACCTGCCGCCAGCTTCTAGGTGTGAAGCCCGTGGCCACACATGCTCGAAACACATTCAACAGGTAAGGAACAACCGAAATCCGTCCCTGCTGTAACATGGCCGGAAATACGCCGTCCAGACCTGGACTTTTGTATGGGGCAAATGAATCTACTGCCCATACCGTCCTTTCGAAGGTGACAATCTCCCTAGCCGTGCGCCAGTCCTCCCTTGAGGGCCTGCGCAACTGCATGCACTCTGTGATTGATCGCGCTACTGTGGAACCGGGAAAGTGCGTATCCATCAGAAGCCTCAGAGTATCTTCCTCAGAAGTAGTAATCCCCCCCGAGGGATCATGCAGAGATCCCAATCTTGCTTTACTGTCTTTGCATAGGACTCTGTGTATTCTTGCAGTAGCAGGAATGTCATTTATGGACTGACAGAAGTGCCTCCAGGATTCTCTGGAGGCCCTTCTAATCTCCTTTTTGTACTCCTGCAATGCCTTTTTGTATTCTTCCCATAGAGGAGAACCTCTCCTGTGCTTAACTCTGCTAAGAAGTTTGTGCACCGCTCGTTTTCTATCCTCTAAATCTTTGGTCCAGAAGGTTGCCTTGCCCTTACCTTGGACTTTGCGTAACGGGCAGCTTTCCTCATATGCAGCCGTCAAGTCCCTGCTCAGAGACTCGACAGCTGCTTCTATGTCAGAGCCCCTGCCAAGCCTGTATGGGACCGCTCCAAGCTTACTGTCAATGTCTGCCCTAAAGGACCCCCATCTAGTATGCCTGGGATTCCGAGCATATTTATCCGGAATCTCTCCATCAGTCTTGAACAGTATATACCTGTGATCCGATAGAGAGGGTGTTAGAGACACTTTCCAGTCCCTGATATCCTGAGCTAAGTTAAGCGTGCTCAGTGTTACGTCGATAACCTCTTCTCTTACACTATTGCTGAAAGTGGGCATGTTACCGACATTCAGAACCTCAAGGTTCGATGCCCCTAGAAACTCCATCAGGTCTTCGCCCCGTCTGTTGGTGTTCGAGCTGCCCCACGTAACGTGATGGGCATTACTGTCGCATCCAATCACAAGGTCGAGTCCAGAATCCCTACAGAAATGCGACAAGGTCCCCCATTTCCTTAAACGGAGGAGGGTTTCTTGAATCGTAAGGAAGGTAAGCCGAACATACAACCAAGTCCCTGTCACTGCCTTCCTTCTTATATCTAATTCTGACTGCAACTAAGTCTCTGAATGTAAATTCTTTAAGTTGCCATGAGTTGACGGAAGTCATTACGCAAGCTCTGGGCTTAGTGTCCGGAGTATCGCTAAAAAGCGTATAGCCCGGTATACTAAGTCCGTTTACTGAACCGTTTCTCAGCCAGGGTTCCTGGATGAGAGCCACGTCATGTCGGCCTCGAGTGATCTCCTGAGTAAAGGCCCTCGAAGCCGCTATGCAGTGTTGTAAGTTAATTTGGATGAAATTAAGACTTACCATGGGTGTTGAGAGGTCCTTCCTACACCTTCCCGAATGACGGTATGTAACCCCTATTCGGGCGTACCGCCGTCGCCGCCGCAGTCTTCGCTGTCACAGCCGCCTTCATCTCCGCTTCCACGGAGGAGTTCTCGGACTCGGTTCAGGATTCCATCCTCGTCCGAGTCGCTACTATTTCCCTCTGGGACCAGATCCATCGCAGGGTCCGCCACGATGTTTCCTGCGGATATCCCGCTTGGACCCGCCGCTTCCACGTCCGTAACCTCCGGTGGTTCCAGCGAGAGCTGACCCGGCCGACCCATCCCCTGTGAAGGAGCCTGGTCTACCGCCACAGCTCCCGTCGGTCTGGGCTGGTCCGACTC